AGCTGCATGTTTGTATCACACTCTTTGGCTCCGGCCAGTCAATGATAGTTAAATCTTCTCTAGGCCCACTAAGATGTTGTCACCATCAATAATGTGTCATAGAAGGCAATGTTCCAATTAAAATAAACACTTGCAAATCTTGGAGTACAGTTGATACTCTTGGAGGGCCCACAAAATAGTGTGAAGGTATGCTCCATGTCTAGTCAGGTCACATAAGTAAATAAGCATACCATCAATAAAGAAAATCATGAATTGATCAAGGTAAGCTTGGAAGACAGTCCATCAAACATAAACAGCAAAAACATTTATCAAATTAAATGGCATCATAAGGAACTCGGAATGGCTATATCAAGTCCAAAAGATCGTCTTTGGAACAACTTGATCTCAAATCTTGAGTTGGCAGTAGATTGATCTAAAGTCTTCTTGAAAAACATGATGCTGCCTTACAGTTGATTGAAGATGTCATTGATATAGGATAAGGGATACTTATTCTTAATGGTCATCTTGTTCAAAAGATCTGATGCTAAACCTTGATCTCTCATCCTATTTCAAAAATAAGAATGGCGCTCCCCGTTGTGAGATGTCCATCAAATGAAGCATTTCTCCAACAAGTCATGAGGTTGTAGTCTGCGCAGTTGTCTCGTCCAATAGTGATTAAGGAGGAGGCTACCAAGATTTCCTTCCTTACAAGTCACGACTAAGAAGTCCACCCCATTAAAAATGATCCCGGGCTGCAACCACCAGTCTTTTGCATCTAGTAAATCAATTTCATCTTCACAAACAATTGCAACCATGTGTTGTGACCATTTATTAGACTAATTGGAGTTGATATCCCCCTAGTAGCCTGCAAAAGAGTATGGGCATACACCAACAATCCTAATATGTCGCTCACGGGATGAGCAATCACTATCAACAAGGCCATCTCCATTATAAGTATGTGCCTATGATAGTTGCCAACAACCAATGTGCCTAAATATTGTCAAAGAGACCAATCGACTTCAAGAGTTGTGACATCACTCTAATAATAACTTATTTCCATCATCATCAACTCCATATCCATGTAGTGCAGTCTGTAAGATAATAAATGTTCATACTAACCAAAATGTATTAATTATAAATGTATGCCTGATGATTGCTATTTTTTTTTAGTATTACCCACACTCCTCCAGCTAGGCAGATGTCTAAAGACATGATATCATTTGCTTTAATACTAATTTGTCACGCCACCCAAGACAGTAAAATATCTTGCTAAAGCCCAATTGCCCAAGAATTGTCTGCATTAGGGTCATGGCAGCAAATTGTGATCCGCCCGAGCCCCGACATTTCACCTCAACATGTCTAACCTGACTCACATAGACAAAATCCATCCTAGCTTAATGCATCCAACTCGTTAGTGTAGCTAGTCAACCTTTGGCTAGGAAGGCCTCTACAGTTTCCCTAAGCAAGGCAAATAACCAGAAAATATGAAAGATCAATAACATAAATCTTGAGTTTTCAAAAAATCATTTTTATATCATGATTCTTTGTATATTTTAATTGTTCATGTGTATTCACTAATATTAGGTGTAGCATACATGCAAGGTCGAGCCTTGGGATCCATCATCCCTCAAATTGAAGTATTTCATCCTCATAATATCGATGGCAACTATTCTATGACAATGTTACCACTCAAGCTCATCAACCAATAGTATATATTAAATTCATATCATGTATTATTAAGTACTAATGTTCACACAAACATTTTCTTTTTTACCCATCATGTCATTCCTAGTCATCTCATTATTGCAAGGTGTAAGAAGTTCACACTCATGTTAAAAATAAAGGAACAATAGCCAAGAAAACAACAAACATGAATACAAGAAAGCACTACTATTAATATTTAATAGGTTATTTCTCCCACAGGCACAAAAGACTAGTAAAGTCCTCAAGGTCTAGATCATCACAATTTTTTCGGGCTAAACTCTATGGCAATATTATTTCTGCCAACCTACTTGGAAACAATAGCCTTCCCTTAAGGGTATACCTTTCTTAAAAAGGAAACCCAAGGAGATAGGATCAATAACCACTGGTTATGGAAAGAAACAAGCTATGTGGTTCAATAAACTTTGTCTCCACATTTTTCCTTCTTTAAGCATGTCAAACCCCCTGCTCGCCTTTACCATGTTTGCCTGCTAATACATTATAGCATGCAAGGTCGGCAATTTGACAGTTTTGAATGTATAATGGTTATGTTGTTCTAGCATTATTCAGCCAATCTTCCATGTTTACTAGGTTATCTATTAGCGGTATGTTTCAGGTTAATCAATTAATTATGGTACTGCCAACCACTATGACAATGACCTTAGTCATAACTTTGGTTGGCCAATTACAAATTGTTGTGTTACACCTGATGGTCGATCATACCTAGACGGTTACCAAGATCTAGGCCTAATATGGTTTGGTCAGCCCACTACATCCACGACTGATCTATCAAAATCCAATCGAGCATACCAAGTTAGCCAAAAGTACCCAAATAGTTTGTGGCCTACCTAGCAAGCCAAAACTAGATAGTTAGCCAACTATGTCAAGTTGCAACCTAAGTTTTAAGTCTTTATAAACAATATGTCCATTCGTACTAGATAGCCACCAAGACATTTGTTACTAGATAGTAATTCTATATAATGGCACAAACATTCTCAAATCTCCATTACTTAAGAAGAGAAATGACTGGTCATTAAGGAATGCAACAATGTAGATTTTCTAAGTGCCTCCTCTAGATAAAATCCATAATTGAGGGAATTGATAGGATTTTCTTCCAGCTACATGCAAACATATTTTCTTCATCTTGCATGTTCCTCGTGAGATTAGAAACTATAGCCTAAGCTGTCTTATTCTTCTTCTCCTTCAAATTCAAAAACAATCTTTATACTTTATTCTTGAGGAAAGTGAAATATTTCTTACAATTGCCATAAGGGATGAAGGTCAACAAGAGTATGTCAGCATATATTTGTATTTATATGTTCTTTGATTGAATTTTATGATTCTCTACCACATTGACTATATAACATTCAAAGTATCTCTCAACATGTATTTAATATTAATGAATTTCAAGTGCTTAATTCCTAACATTCACATATGTTTCTTTCACTTGGAAAAATAGTAAAAGAACATTGTGTTATGGAGGATAACAATTTTTAAATAATAATCTCCAAATAGAATTGATGTTCCTAGCCAAGCATTGATTAATCTTCTAACTCACTTCTTGTTGCTCGTGTGGATGCAACACAAACACAAGATATATGGTTGATCACTAGACTAAATCTCCCAAGCAAGATTATGACTGATAATGTTGTTCCTACTACTCTCGCACAACTTTAGCCAAAAACCAAAATGGTTGCATAGTGGATCATCAAGCGCTAGGGAACTAAACCCCTACAAATTTGCCGGATCCCAAATTTCCAAAGCCTCAACCAATCTCCTTCCCCAACAACTCAATGCCATCCCTACTTTAATCAACACAAAGATTGTGCATCCCTCTCAGCCTTTGTCACAATTTAAAATAAGCGAAGGCTTGAGCATCACATACATTTCTCCCCATCATAGCCGCCACACCCTCTCCCATTTCAGCTCCCTCTTCTATTTCTCTCCCTCACAACCAACGATAGTGAATCCCCTTCTCACGTTACTTCTTGATCGAGAGCTACCAACAATAAACCCCTTTTCCTTTCTCCACAATCGTGAGTTAGCCACTTGTCCACCTTGCTCCTTCAGTCGAGCAGCCTTCCACAAGCCTTCACCCTCTCATTTCTTCCTCCCTAGCCACCAACAATGTTTCATCCACCTCGAACTCCACGCTCAAATTGGTAGGAAAAATTAGCCTTAATCAACTCTATTTTAGATTAATCGTTTCAATTGTAATCTCCGATTTAGGTTAAGATTAGATTATTGTGGATTTTGTTAAATCATTAAATTTCTTTTGTTTTTTCACATAACGGATTTAGGGAAGATTATAAATTAATTTAAAACTGTATATTTGCTATTGTAAGTTGCAATAATAACAAATAGACTATGTTGATTTTAAAATAACTTATATTGATTAGGTTTATCTAATAACTCTTAACGCCTTCAATTAAGGCTTAGGAGCTATTTGGTTTGCTACATAAATGACGTAATGTAAATCAAATGCATTCATTTTGAAATTTTGTTAGTTTGGTAGGCTACATTTCAAATGCAATGTAATTCATTCATCAATTTGAGATTCACTCTAATTCTTTTTTTATGTATTTCAAAATCAGTCAATATGGTCAATTTTCAAATATGCTACAAATTCTTTGTCACTTGTTGCTGCAAGTTGTTGCAGCCACCTGTTATGCTAATCACCACTAACTGCAACCATCACTCGTCGTCGCTACCACCATAGGCACCGTGGTTGGGCTTTACAAAGAATTTATTTTACTTCAGACCAAACACAAATATATGATCCCATGCATTTGTTTTACATTCAACCAAATAATTATAAAGTATTTTAAATACAATAAATTTATTTTATACTTTACTCTTTTTCTTTGCATTTCTTTTTAGCAAATCAAACAATCATTTCATGTAATTAGTTTCAAGTTAGATTAGGTCTCACAATATTATGCATTTTAATTGCTTATTACAAATTAAATATTAATTTAGGGTTCATATGTGCAGAACCTTCGAGTTGATTTTTCACCTAATGTAACTGATTGTATCTCAATTAAACATGGGGTTTCATCCCACTCACATTGAGGTAAGTAACTTTTATTTAATCACGTATTCTCCAATTACTAAGAACAGACAGCATGCACTACAGTGGTCATTTACAGGAGTTTAAATAAACTATCAACTGTAAATGGGCTTCATGAAAAAGAATTGTCTCACTCCAACTAATCGTACAAATTACTTCCATAAAGAGAATAGAAGCTTATCTAACATCTGGGAATCTCCATTGGAAATACAGAGAGAAAAAGAAGAACTTGAAGAGTTGGAGATGATACCCTTCCTTTAGAGAAGAGGGAGAGGCCCAAGTTGACACAAGATTCTGCAGTCTCGGCGCTAACTTCTGAAGGGGTGGAAGACTGAGAAGAGGAGGCAATCTTGAGGTAGAGACCACCCTTGTTAAAGCTGAGACGTGTTTTTCTCCCATGCCAGGAGCTTGGCATGGGGCAGCGGAGGAGATCGAGTGTGAGAGCAGGAGGTGCCGCTCCTGGCATGGGGCAACGGAGGAGATCGAGTGTTAGAGCAGGAGGTGTCATCGCCATTGCGACTTCGAGAGAGCGCCCGTCTCGTTCCACCAATTCCCTATCTATATTAGTTTAGGAGGGGATTAAAGTGAAATAATTGTGTGTATATATATATATATAATTTTTTTATTAAAATAATTTGGCATAAATTTTTTCTAGGCTAGCAAAGTTTAAATAAAATGTTTTGTTTATTTTAAAAAATAAATGCTTTTCACACACTTTAAAATTCATTTTAAAAAATAAATTCAAGATAACTTCAATTCGTCCTTTTATCACATATTAAATATAAAAGAAATAAGATACATTAACTAATTATTTTCTAAAATATATTTACTTCTCATTGGAAAAAAAATTATTTTTGACCAAATTGAACTAGCAATTTGTTTGATACACTCGAAAATTATTTTATAAAATAAAGCCTATTTTGATTAGTGAATTGAAAATGTGTAATACAATGTATAACATTGTAAATTATTTTGTTGTGATTCAATAATTATAAATAAAATAATCCTCTTTATAAAAATAAAAGCTGATTTATTGTGTAAAAACACCATACCACAATAAATGAAATAAAATTTAATTATGATCTATGATGAAAACAAGAGAAAAAATAAATAAATTTAACTTATTGTTACAATTTTATAAGAGAATTTAACTTTTTATGCCTCATAATACACATTTTTGATCAAATATCTGCCTTCTATAGCTATTTAAAAAAATATCCCTTAAAGTCATTTTACCATAAAAACTCTTAAAATGAAAATGAATATATTTTCATCAAATCATATTCTGCTCAAACAATTTTTATAACTTTAATGCTTCATTGTACACATTCTAATATTTCATCTTATAGACTTTGCTGATTTTTCATCCTTTTATTGTGATGTTTCTTCTTTTAGTAAGAATGAAGAACATGATGGTGTTGTTGAAATAAAGTATTTTAAATAGACTTTGAAATATACAAGTATTTTAATATTTAAAAAATATTCTTGGCATGTAATTAAAATGATATAATTTATATGGTTTCTATTGGTTATGAGAAAAAATTGTGAAAATTGAGGTTGGGATTATTTTAATTGTGATATAAATTTAATAAGTGTAAAATTTCATAAGTAATTTTTCATTGTATTTTATTTAACATAGGAACAAATTTTGTAATAGTGTTGAGATCATTCTTTTCTAAGTTAACTTATAAGCTTAAGAACTATTTAATCCTTCTATTATGACCATATCAATTTTTTTTTGCTCATGATTTCCATCACATATAAAATCACTAGTCTATCCAAATAAAAATCCATCTAAGATTTGAACTACAAATAAATTAGAACCTGATTTTCGAAGAAATAATATTATGTTTATATTTAAGTTAAAAAATTTATTTTCATCGAATATTAAATGTATAAACTCCTCAATAATCATGCTTCACTCATTGAATATTTTAAATGTTTAGCTTATGAATAAATATCTTAAGAATATTGGTTCATTAGATTTTGCATCAAAATTTCTAAAGTTGCATTTTCCATTATTTAATATAACTATTTACACCTAAATGCATTAAGATGAGATAAATTTAATGTTCCACACTTAATTAATTTATATGATATTTTATTTAATACATGCTAATAATTACTCAATTTAGTACATAATAAGCTATGTTTATGCCTTGTATTAAAACAAGTAATTTATTTTCATTTAACATAGATTGAACAACTTAAGGTTTTATTATTTCTTTCAACTATTTCATTATGTTGGGATGTACAAGGAACTTAAAAGAGTGTATAAGGAGACTGATTGATATGACATGATATGCAGATAGACAGGAGTAGTGACTTTTTATATAAAAGCTATATGACTTATGATATAAGATATAAGAGTGATTCCTGATAACATGATTGATATAATTGAGATTGATTCCTATTTGATATAAAAGGACTGTAGGGCTTGATATATAAAAAATTCTATAAGTAGTTAGATGTCATATCTTGCTTACAAATGTATATCATATGAGCATATATAATGATAAATTGCCTATATTATATGAACATGATATCGAGTATTACTGATAAAAATATATGACAAGAATGATAAGACTAATACAAGAGCATATGATATATATGAAATACATGATATATATGATACATTGTATTTGATAGAAATATGATATGGATGCATTGGTACTATATGACATGCATATGAAAAATATTAGTATATGAAATATATATATATTCATGTCCTGACACCGCAGCACTCACCAGTTTAGCGCCAAAGTGCTCTACTTCACATATGACATGCCTATGAAAAATACTAGTATATGAGTTTTCATATTTTTCAAGAAAATTTATTTCACATATTTGAGTTATTACACTCTTGTGTCAACTATCATTCATCAACTCTTAGCATCAATTAGATACCTAAATTAAAATAAAAATCTGCATATTTACTCCATGCCTTCTTACTTCTTAGACATGCTTTATGATGTTTCTGACATCCAAAACCATGATAAATAGTGACTGCAGATACCGAGTTACCAATATATTGATGTTTTGTTGAAAAAAAAAAATAGAACTAATATAATTTTTTTATGTATCTGTATTTAAATTTTTATAATTATTTGAATAAAATTCAAATATTTAAATTAAAAAATATTTTTCTATATATAGTATATACACATTGATGTAATATATTAAAAAATTCATGATTATTGAACAAATTTTACTATTTATTACCTAATGCAAATCTCTATTTTTTTAATCGTAAAAAGATTTGATTTTAAAGTATTAGAAATAATATTTTTATTAGATTTAAATGAGATTTTGACTTTTAGCATAACATAGGTTAAAAAATGTTTCTTGTGACCGGCCCCATATAGGGAACTTTTATTTGGTCCGGTCACCTGATGTAGCTCTACGTTCGGACGTCAGTAAAATAGTGCCACATGTTCTCACTATTTACCACGCGGCCCGACATCCTCGACTCGGAACGGAGACGGGATTGCTATGTTCGTGTGTTGCTAGGTATTGCTCGGTATTTGCTCGGTATTGGTCGATTTTGCTCGGCAATAACGAGAAATATCATTCTGTGAAGACCAATACCGAGAAATACCGATATTGCTCGATATTTCTCGGTATTGGTCTTCACAGAGCGATATTTTTCATTATTGTCAAGCAATGCCAAGCAATACCGAGCAATACCTAGCAATACCGAGCAATACCGAGCAATACGCGAACATAGCAACCCCAGGTCAAGTCGTCAGGCCGCGCGGTATCGAGTACAACCACGTGGCGATATGTTATTGACATCCGAACGTAGAGCTACGTCAGGTCACTTGTCTTAATAATTGTTCTCATATAGTAGGGTAAAGGTCTTATGTTATTGTTGTTGTACTTTGATGAAATAGTGACATTTGAATATCATATAAATAAATATAAAAATTTAGGTATTAGATAAAAGAGTTTTATTATATGTATGTAAATCTTACAAAAAAAAAAAAAACCTTGCCAATCCAGTCAGCCAGGTAAGTCCAGTATTATAGAGAGCTTCATACATTGAGTTATCTTAGAAGTAATAAAAAAATCAAATGAAATTTTTGGCCCAATTCGAATCAAGCAGGGCTTGAAACTGGATTTGTTACAGCAGTATAGCATATAAAATTTTGATTTGAGGAAAATATATAGACAGAAAAAAAAAAGCCTGTAGGCCCTGTACTCATATTTCAGTAGACTATATGAAGGGATCGATAGTTTGAACCTACAGCTATCCTAATCAAATATCCAGCCGAAGTAAAATATTTAATTTTCTGATTATGAGACTGTTTAGATCGTTTCCTAAGGGCATCTCCAACAGAAAACCCCATTTTCACTCTAAAATACCTTAAAACTTCAAAATGTGATAATTTATCTCCAATGAAACTCAATTTTTCTTTTTTCACACGCTTCTTTGTGAAGGTAATCATCTCTCTCCTGTTTCGCACGCTTCCTGCGAAGCTAAGCAGAGTGCGAAGGTAATCGCTTTTTTGGACATAGGTGAACAATCCGACGCCAATATTGACATCATAATGTTCACCTACCAATTTTTTGGAATGAGATTTGGGGTTCGAATGTGATTCGTGTATGTCATACAATGAAATGTAGTTCGGTTGAAAATTATCTAAATGTAAAACTATGCTATGAGAGGAAAAATATAGCCAATATAATGCTGAGTAGAAGAAATGTATTATAAAATAAAAATAATGTATTTAAAAATACTTTTGAGTTGTTTGTTCGAGTATGATACAAATGACTTTTTTTTTTTAATTTTTTTTTGAATTACAAGAATGCAAATTAAAATAGTCGAGGAATTGAAACAAAAGGGGGATAAAAGATTGATGATGGTGAGGACAGTGAACAACAGTAGCAGTCGGTGAAGGGCGGCGACAATTAACAATAGGCGATGTCGAAGGTGGTCGGAGGTAGGTGGCGATGGCTAGTTGGTTTGATTGGCAACGAAAGAACATGACAATAGCAATAGTCAGTGACATTACAATCAAAATGATTTTTGAACTGAAGAATGATTTTCAAATACACTCCTAAAATGTATTGTAAACACTCTAATTTTCATAACCGCTAGGTTTACTTCTAATGTTCTACACTAAGAATGCAACCAATCCTTACATCTATGTCACTCTAATGACCAGTCTTTATGTTCTTAAATATTCTTTTACAAAGTTATTTTTTTAAAAAAAGTGAAAGAGCTTAACATACATATAACACTTAAACATTTAAATAACATAAAAAAGAATGCAGAGTAATTTATCCTTATAATACTGCAGCATGGCTGTACAAGTTGATAAATTATTTACCAAATATTAACACTTCTAGTCATTGATAACATTGATAAAACATTGCTACAAGCTTATCAGCTCTTTCAGCCCTTCAGTGAGTACTTCTTCCCTGTGAATGCCTCAAACTTGGGCTCTTCTTTCTTTGGAGGTTCTTCCTTGGGCGGTACCTGAAACCAGAACCCAATCAAAGTACTCTTAAATACAAATCTACCTTAAAACTATAAGAAAAGTTTCCATCTAATATAAAAAAGCTATCAATGATATTTTTATAGTCCTCTAAAATAATCATTCTTCAATTAATTATTCTCAATTTCCTACACTTGATTCTTAATATTCTCAGAAAAGAAATGATGGAAATGCTGATGGCAAGAGTTGAGAACTGAAATTCAGAGGCTTTGTTTGGGACGACTTTCTTACTGCTTCTGAAAGCAACTTTCTACTAAAAAGCTACTTTAAGAAGCAGGAAGAAAGCCGTTCCAAACAAAGCCTCAGTATGGTATAATAAGTTTTTTAATACCCTCTGAGCTTCTTTGGTAGCATGGCCTGCATTTGAACCAAAGACTAGCTTCCCTGAGGTTTTGCGTGAAGCAGAGCTCTGTGATGTGCTCGTGGTAGAACTCTTTGAGCCGGCGACTTCTGGCTGGCTGCACTTCTCAAGGTTAGGAACATTGGGAGCATAAGTTGAAGGCTTTCCATCCAACCGCCTTGCCGAACCACTGAAAGGATTGTACTTCTGTTCATCAGCCACAGGTTCAGCGAGAGCATCTTCAACTGAAAATTTCAAATCAGACAGCAGCTTAAATACAATAATATGTTCTAACGTACAAGATAACAAGTCTTAACAAACTAAATGCTTTGGATAATTTAGGTTTCATTTGGGTCTGTTTTTTTACTATTTTTTTAAAGTATCTTTTTAGTATGAAATTTTTGTACTAAAAAGCTGCTTTAAGAAATAATAAGAGAGCTGTCCCAAACAAATAACCACCCTACTTATGTTTTAGCAGGCAAATAAGTTATATATATATATATATATATATATATATATGAAATTGTTCTTAATATGTTGAGAAAATATACAAGTGGTGCAGAATTGATTGGTTTGAGCATCACTCATTTTACTTTTTCTTTCTATATATATATATATATATATATATATATAAGAATAAGTCTACAATACAATTAGATGAACAATTGATTTAAGGCTTATATGCATTTATTGATCAATTAATGGGCGAATGATCATGTATGGAGAACTTTGTATTTATAATCATGCTTTTGGCCTATTTGAAATCTAATTTATCATCCGTAATATAAATAAAAAGATCTCTATTTATACTCAACTGAAACTTCTACATCAATTTAATTTTCTTTTTTGTTTAAACTTTTTAGAATTGATATTATAATTTTTAATTTTCAATATGGCAGAGCGGGTGGGAGATGTATGTTGAATTAGCCTCAAACATTAAAATTTTAAGTTTGACTTGCAGTATTATTAGATGTGAGAGAAACTTGAGTCGTCAAGCAAGTTAATAATTTATTAATTTTAAATATACTAAATAAATCATATATTCTATGCATTTCATTATGATTTTTTGTATAGGTCAAATATAAAAAAGAAAAATTGATTAGAATAAAAGTGCTTAAGAGATTTAATGATCATTAAGTAAACTCAAATTTTGAAAAAAAAGATTCAGTTTGAGAGATGTGATTGATTCAGACAGTTTGGTTTTTAATGATGAAAGTTGTGAGTGGTTAATTGAGTCAATGAAGGTGAGCAATGGTTTAGTGAAAAAGATCTCACAACAACAACAATAACATCAAGCCTATGCCCCACTATGTGAGGTCGGCTACATGAATCCTTTTGCGCCATTGTGTCCGGTTAAAAGTCAAATTCTCATTTAAATCTAATAAAGAAAGATCATTTCTAATATTCTCTAACAAAGTCTTTTTAGGTCTACCTCTACCGTTCTTAACATAAGTCAAATCTAATACCTCAACTTGCCTAATCGGGTCATCAGAAGGCCTCCGTTTAATGTGACCAAACCATCTAAGGCGACTCTCTCTAATCTTATCTTCCACTGAAGCTAATCCAACCGTATCATGTATATGTTCATTTTGTATCTTATCTCTAAGGGTCAAGCCACTCACCCACCTAAGCACCCTCATCTCTGCAACACTTAACTTAGTATTATGCGGCCAACATTCGACACCACAAAGCATTGCAGGTCTCACCACCATCTTATATAATTTTCCCTTATGTTTGAGGGAGACTTTTCTATCACACAATAAGCCCGAAGCATTCCTCAACTTCAACCATCCAACTTGAATTCTGCTGATAATATCCCCATCAATTTCACCATCACCCTGAACAATAGATCCAAGATATCTAAAACATTTGCCTTTATTAATGACTTGATTGTCCAAAGTCACAATCCCCTCACTAGGTCTATTGCTACTAAAATTAAACTCCATAGAGATAAATTAGAAAGGTACTAGAAGAAGATGATCGAAGGTGGTATGTAATATTTAGTAGACTAAAAATTAAAGGGGATTCATCCACAATGGGCTAGTTCATCTCGACCTCCATACACTTTTATTGTTGAAGTAGGGGAAGAGGAAGACTTTGAAGATTGAAGAAATTCTACCTAAAGGAGAAATAAATTATGTGAATGAAAGAGAGAATGATAACTACCGAATTCCCTTTAGTCAGCTTTATGAAACTCAAGGATTATGCATTTAAATTGAGCATTTATTATGAATTAAATTGTTTTTATTTCCATCTTTAATTTTTTAATCTTTACAGTAAAGCACTATACAAGTTTTTAGCTTTTAAATGTTTGTTAATTCCTATGCATAATAAAAATTGTTATATTTTTCAATTTGCTTTGTCATCATGTTAGATATGCACATTTCATTATTTCTCTATTCTATATAAAGTTTTAACTCATCTATTAAATATTCCATATTTTATAAAGGTTCATAAATTTGTTAATCCTGGTTTGCCTTGTCATGGCATCATCTTCTACCTCTTCAACCTCCCTTCAACAGGACACACTCATCAAAATGACTGATATTTCAATCCCAACACAGCTCAATTTTTTAATGACAAATGTGAAATCTGGTTTCAACATTCAGTTGACAGCAGATAATTATCCTCTTTGAAAATCTCAAATTCTGAAACAGTTCCACATCTAAACCACCAAAACAGAAGCTAAATGAAGTCGGAGAGATTAAACCAAATATCAGTTATCACACCTGGATTCTTGTAGACTAGAATTTGGCAGCAGTCTTATACTCTACCATTTCACAAACCTATCTACATTATGTGCTTAATCTGGATTCCTACCATGAAATCTGGAATATTATTGAACGCCGTTTACAATCCACCAATAGATCTCGCATTCTTCAACTTAAAAATGAGTTGCATCATAACTCGATCAAAGATACCATGATATAATACTTATCTGATATCAAGGGCAAATTTGATGTTATAACCGCCTCCTGTTCTGATTTTGCTGCTGAAGATATTATACTTTATACGCTAGATGGATTCCCACCAACTTATCAAGCTTTTAAAAAAGCCATACAAACCAACCTCCAACCACTTAATTTAGATTATTTTTTTGCGCTCTTATACAGTGAAGAGCTGAACCTAGCAGCTGAGGCTGCTCGTGATTTAACATGCATTTCCCCTGACTCTTCACTTGCCTTAATAGCCATTAGAGGTCGCGCTCCAGGGTGGTTTCAATTGGGGTCGTAACCAGTCCCATTCATCGAAATTCATCGAAACCCAATCGTGGTATGCACAGTTCCTCTTGTGGTGGTCGAAGGGCTTCCTTGTACATTGAATGACAAATTTGTGTCAAAGCTGGTCATTTCACAATAAAATGATGGTATCGAGCAGATCTCACTTATCAGCTTACTAATGCTTTGACTGCTGAAACGGCTCATGTGACTACTGATTAGATTCTCGATTCTGGAGCTACCTCACATCTCACTTTAGATTCCAATCATCTTTGTAGTTTAGAGCCATATACAGGAAACCGACAAGTTCTAATTGGCAATGGGGACTTGGAATTTTGCCTACTCCAACACGTAAGCTCATTCTAAATCCTGTATTCTATGTTCTAAAACTCTCTCACAATCTTCTCTCCATAAATAAATTAACTTCTGACAATCTTTGCTCCATTTTTTTTTAATACTAATAGCTACCACATAAAGGATCTAAAGAGTCATTGCACAATTCTCCAAGATTCCTGTCGTCGAGAGCTTTATCAAATTAACTCCAACAACTTGAAGGCCTCTTACGCTCCAACCTTTCTTGCCTACTCATCTACGGCTCAATTGTGGCATCACCGACTTGGGCATCCATCTATCATGCTTTCTTCTCAAATTCATAAGCAACTTTCAAATTCCAGCACAAGAACTTTTCATTGTACTTCTTGTGCTCTTGCTAAGTGTTACAAATCAGCGTTTACTATTTTGCATTCTCGTGCTTGTGATCTCTTAGAAGTTATGCATACTAATGTATCCAATGCTTTTTTACATGGCAAATTAAATGAAACTGTCTACATGTCTCAGCTTCCAGGTTATTAGGATCCAATGTATCCAAGTATTGTGTTTGCTTAAAAAGTCTATCTATGGCTAAAAACAATCACCTTGACAATAGTTTGAAACTTTCTCCACTTATTTACTGAACTTTGGTTTTCAACATAGCACCGCAGACCCTTCCTAACCATTTATATTTTGATCTATGTGGAGGACATTCAGCTTACCGGTAATGATGAAGTTTAGATTCAGCACTTGCTTTTAGAATTACACAAAACTTTCAGTATGAAGAACCTTGGTACTATCTCTTTCTTTCTTGGAATGCATGTGACCTCCACTCCTACTAGTTTACACCTTTCTCAAACCCAATCTGCACTTGACTCTTTGAACCGTGCTGGAATGATAGGTTGCAAACCCATTTCCACTCCTATTCTATTAAATTGTTAACAGAGGACACAGTAACCTTACAAAATTCAACTCCGGATCAATATCATCATCTTGTATCATCATCTTGTATGTTCGTTGCAATATTTAACTATTACAAATAAACTTAGCCAATATATGCATCAAACAATGGAAGGGCATTACAAACTTCTAAAACGACTTCATATTAAAGGTACTTTGCACTTTGGTTTGCCAATTCTGCCAAGCAATCTTACACTTTCTGCCTATTCTAATTCGGATTAGGCAGGTGATCCGAGCCACCTCTGGATATGGTGTTTATCTAGGTAATATCTTAATCTCTTGGCAATCTAAGAAGCAAAAGACTATCGCTCATTCTTCTACTAAATCTGAATATCGTGCTCTTGCAACTGCTTCTACTAACTTAATTTGGCTACCAGTTTTTGCAAGAATTTCAACTCGAGCCTCCGGATTCTACCTCTCTCTATCGTGATAATGTGCCTGCAATTACTCTTGCCAAAAATCTCATTTTTCATGCTTGCACTAAACATATTGAAATAAATTTTCATTTTGTGCCGGATTGCATTAAAAACAAGGTTCTTCGCATTCATCATGTTCACTCCAAAGATCAACTTGCTAACTAACATCTTCACAAAAGCCTTGCCAATAACGAAATTTTTACAGCTACGAAACAAGTTACCGATGTTGGAAAATATCATTAACTTGTTGCGGAGCGGTGATAAGCAAGCCACCTTATTGAGATAAGTAGTTAAAGTGTTAAACTATTCTGAATATGTTTCCAGTTCCTCTGCAGCAGCACTACCTTACCTTTATGCCTTTCTCTATCATCGTTGATTCCTAACGCTTTTGATCTCAGCCACTGTTTTGGCATCTCCTTTATTTCCTTTTCATAGAGTATATATATATATATATAAGCCCCTGTATTTTTCTGGTAAGTGTAGATGAAAATATACAACACACATCTATGGCTGCTGTAAGTTTACTCTGTCTTGGTTTTAGATTGTCAATATAATCTGTTTGTGGAGTTTTAGATTTATCAACAGCAATCGCATTATCAAACAACCAACTAACAGAGTAGTCAGTTACAAAAACGCAAAACAGATGGTACAAAAAAGGAAATGAGATTAAGTACCTTGACCTTGTGCTTTGTTGGATAGACCAGACGGTTGGGATCGTTCAGGTTCTTTATAATCTAGTGGGGGTGCAAAATCAACCTCACAGTCTGTCTCAATAATGCTAATTGCAGAAGTGGGCTTTGTTTCCACAATATCTATGTAATACTTTTTATTATTATATGGAACCATGATACTGTCACCCGTAGTCAAGCAAGAGTAGTTCCTCAATGTGGTTTCCAAACTGTGAGTTCAAAGAAATATAGGTCACTAGTCCATGTGCATGATCCCAAGCAGAATTTTAGATGCTATAAAGAATGGACCGGACATAAATAACAGTTTGTAGAAATATCAAATAAGCCAAGAAGAAGCCAAACTTACATGGCCTTGGGATTTGAAATATCTAAGAAGTCTTTTGTATGTGGCTGCAACTTGACATATGATCCCTTCGGGAGAGTAACATTCTTGATTTGCACAATATCGCCCTCTTGTAAAAGTAAATTTTGCATCATCTGTAAACATGTGAAGAAATCCAAATTAGCATGGGAAATCATTTAGACAAGAAGAAAATGAAAACAATTGAGTGACAAAATCATATATAGATGCAAATACCCAATATGGCATGTAAACCATCCCTTCCTCAGCAATGAACTCCAGCACACCACAATGAGAACTTCTCTTAGTTGCCGCATTACGCAGTTCAAATAACATGGGGTATTCAATATGCAACGATGCTGTAGGGGAATTTCCAAATTGTTAGCTTCTTGCAATCACCAACCTATGTCATAATAGAGTCAAGCAAATATGATGCTTTGGGGAAATAGAAAAACGTTTATCACATACCAAGGCGGTCTAGGGCTGAGGGAGGCATTATAACTGCAATAAGAAGAAGACAATTCAGTAAACGTGTCCAAGAAAGTATAAATGAATAAAATATGTAAAAAAAAAAAAGATTGCAAGAGTTCACGCAACATACTTTTGTCACCACCTTCCAGCTGTGGCTGCAAGATGGAAAAAAAAAAACAAACAAACAATAAATAACAGAAATTCCAACCTAAATTCAGAACAAGTTACGTAAGGGGTGTTACCTAACAAAATTAACAATCATAAATTAGAAACACGATTACACACACTCGGGGTATTAGAAAACTTAAAAAAAAAAAAAGAGTGACTCCAAGTGATATCAAGAAAATATAATCATCTGAGGCTGCCATCTCCTATTGAGTTGAATGATGCAGTAGGTCCCTTAAGCAGCATTTATGAAATATCTTAAAGCAAGAGTTGTGATATTTTTTATTTAGAATGCATACAAATGTTTGAAAGCAACTGGCTATAAAAGGCCCTCCGTAACACTTGTCACACATTCAAGCCCAAAATGTTATCCAGATTACGAGTCCTCACTGTCTTGCTTGACAAAAAAGATAGCTTTGGATTTGACTAAAACTTCTTTTTTCAAATGTTCTTAAATATTACAGCCACATATGAGTTGATTGCCACATATGCATTAACAACAACTGTTGGTTTAAATTTATAAGATGGTAGAAGCATAAAAATAGTCATCTATGGGCTTCCTTTACAATGCAATGGAAAAAGCTAAGGAGTTAAGAGCTCACATAGAAGGAGACATTTCATAGCTACAACATTTTATTGTTAAGATACCATGACCTACATGCTCGCCATTTAGATATAAGTCCAACTGGACAAATAATTAAGTTCACACAAAATATAAAAACTGTTTGATAATCTTAAGGATAACCTCTTGATGTACATCATATACAACAAGAGATTGAATCATAATAATTAAAAAAATGGATTTGAAGGATGAGGAGGATGCCCACAACATGATTATATGTCATCAGATGATGTATAGTTTATGGATAAAGGTAATGAGATCACATCATCTGATTTACAATAATAAGATTTGAATGTTGATTTCTTCGATGGGAATAGAAATAAGACAGGCACATTTAACACAAGCCAATGATAATAAGAAACAAGAAGAAAAGGTAATTAAGAAAAAATAATTATTTGAAATTGTCTTAAATTTAAATTAATATTCTCAATTTCTTATTAATTATTAGTGACCAGGGATGATAAATATGATAGATTGAAGAAGAAGAGGCGGGGAAGAAACTATGCACTATGATGACAAATCCAATAAAGACCCCCTGAATATTGAGAGTGCTAAGGACTTTTGATTACTTGTTATATTATTAATTTGATTATTGAAACTTTCGAAGTTGCCATGTTGGATAGTATGAGTGAAGTAGAGAAACTAATTGTGATAAATTTATTTGATGTCTTATTTTGATTTTTTTATATTATATTACTTTTGTTTGATATCTTATGTTGCTTTGACCGGTTGATTATATATATATATATATAATATTGAAATGTTAATTTATCATTTTGTAATATAATAATTGGTTATGATGTTAATATATTACTTCTTACTTTCATTTTACCTTTATATAACCTTTTGATTGTGAGGCTCACACCTCGCCTCATAAACAAAAAATGCCTCAATATCCAATTGTGCAATTTTAAACCTTATTCATAACTTTAACATACCTTTAACACTATCTATATTTTCAAAGAATTTAGGGTAAAATTAGTTTAACATCTCATGTAGCATTCAATGGGAAAATATGAGTGAATGAGAATTTATGCAGTTGACCCCAAATCGTTGGGATGACAAAGACAAGAATTTAGTGTAACAGGAATTATGCGGGAAATGATTTTTAGTGAGGGGGCGAGCGCCAGGTTTCTACCAATAAAAAAAGTAATTGAATGCTACAACAAAACCAAAATACGCACAATAACAATTTCTGGAAAATTTAACAAGAATATCGATATGACAATCCAAATAAAGAAAAAAATCCCTAATTTACAAATGCAGCACTTTCTTCAAGATAGTTTCGAAGATGATGAATGAATTCGGTGAAATTGTTTAATACCTTCATTTGGCAAACAATTATATAATGGGGAGTAACAACGATAAATACTATTTGCATGGTATATAGGGTATCTTAAAATAAAGCATGAAGATAGTAAATATCTAATCTTGTTACAAAATAGAAAATGAAATATTCACTTAAAATACAGTAAAAGGCACCTCATACCTTATCAATAAAGGATGTAGGATAGCAGCGATAAGTCTGCTCAAAAGAATTTCCAAGATAATCATATCTGTCAAAGTACTGACAGTGCAAAGATAAGTTAGTATTTGAAGAAAAAATAAATAAATTAAAATGTTATTCATGAAAAAAATCAATAAACTTCAAGAGTAAAAAACAGTAGACTACACTAACATGTAAGAGCACAGCCAATAAAATATGGTAAGGTTCTGGAGAAAAGAATAAGAATAAGTAACACAAGTCATTCTTAACAGAAATGCATGGCTATGAATTCACAAGGCCAAAAACAAATGATTGGAGGGCTGACGATGATGCAGATATTAATGAAATTAATAATGATGATGTAACTGTATAGAAATAAAACAAGAACCAGCTTATCTTTCGACCTCAGCATTTTGTACCAAGTAATATTTCAATGAATGAAACTTGAATAAATACCTCAGTAATAGGTACAAGTTCATCAATTCCAATGGCTGCCTGACCGATGGATGCCCATTAACCAATCAGTTATCAAGATAAATGAATATTAAGAGCAAAAAAATCATAAGTTAGGAGCAACTGTCGGCCCATGAAGCCACTAATTAATCAGCATACGCCAGTAAATATCAAACATGGGAATGCGAGGCAAGTTGTGCCACAATAGTAATGCCAACTTCCAGTCGATACCAATTCTAGAGACAACCATTAACAACCAACCTATCATCATTATCTTTATTCCATCAATTCAGACTGACAATACATTTCCAAATTCCAACTTCTTTGATATAGCATATTCACAATGCTTAAAAACATCCCACCTAAGAATCATTTGGTCTACCATCAATAGGATAATTATCAATTTCACATAAAGAAAATTTTCAAGTCATCTAGTTCTCTTTACTTGTAAGCCGCATATCTCTATAAATGTTGCTCGTGTTCTAATTTTTTTCTTCAAAAATTGCATCAACTATCAAACCTATATAAGCTACACATAATATATACCAAGGAATCTCATAATGAATACTTTTTTTTTTAAATCTCCACATTCAATACAAAAAGATATAAAATCTATGTGAAGCATTGTTGCAATACGAATGTTGTAATGAAATTAAAATTTTCTTTGGCTACCCCACAACTACTATTAATGCTAGTTACTAGTCATTAATACATATCATTAATAAATTCCATAACTTTGGCACACATTTCCCCACCTTAAGCCCACTGGATCAATTCATATGCTACATAATTAAATATATATCACTCATGAAAAATAAAAACCACATGTTGATTCAAGTCGGGTTTATAATTTAATTAAATATTTTAAAAAATCAAATTAAGATATGTATACGATACGCCAACAGGGGGGAGCACCTAGCCGGCCCAGCACAGGCAACAGAAGGGGCAACAGTAGCAGGAGCGGCAGCAAGAGAGCAGCAGCACCAAGAGAAGGCCTGGCCCAACCTAGCCGCGGCCAATCCAGTAGGCCGGACCAGGCAAGTGCTGAGTGGAAGCAGGAGGCAAGCTAGAGGGGAAATTCAACCGGCTTTGTGGGGACTAGGAGAGCTGTTATGCAAAGAGGAGTAATTAAGGGAGAGGTGTTTAAGAAAGGTTTTTTTTTTTTCAGGAAGTTTTAAATTAGGAAGGTTCAAAATATGTTTATTAGGAAGGATTTAATGAGGGAGGATATGAAAGTTCTATTTATTTAGAAAGATTTTTTAAATTATGTTTATGTTGATTAGGAAGGTTCTATTTATTTAGAAAGGTTTCCTAAATTATGTTTATGCTGATTATGAAGGTTTTAATTGTGTTCTTGTATTCTAGGGTTATTTATTTATTTATTTTTATTCTAGGGTTATTTAAGGGGAAGTTTGTCTATGGTTTAGGGTATGCCATTGCTGAGTTTTATAGTTGTAGTTCTTTTCTTTGAGGGCTTCCTAGCGGCATTTAGGTTGAATGGGAGAGCGGATCTACCTCTCTAATCATTGATTACATGTATATTATCTTTTCCCTCATTAAAATCCGATAAAAATGTTCATGAGTTATCTTCTTCATTGTTTACTTGTTACCAATTTCTGCTTTGCTGAAATTGAATATTCAGCCAAGGTTTTCTTCAAGTTCTGCATCTATTTCATATCAGTATATGTATGTAATGTTTATTTAGATAATTATATTATGAAATATGTAATTATATGTACACGAATATATTGTTTTTGTGTTATATGATTACAAATATATGCATGTATATATGTATATGTCCAAGCCATCTTCAGATTGGAGCAAATAGATTTCAAGGAAATTAAAATTTCAAAGAATATCAAGTGAGTTTTAAACTTTTGAGATAATTATAACCCAATTTAACCGCATCAAATTTGATTGATGTCCGTAAATTTTGTTTTTCTTCTGCTTTATTTAATACACTTCTTCTCATTTAAGAACCTAGCATATATAAGAAAGAATTATGAAATGTAACTTTTAAGTTGCTTATAATCCTCATTGAAGAAACTTTAGCTTCCTTATAATTAATGTTGTCTCAATGGTGCTTGCCATCCTTAAAAATAGATTTCATTTTCTTAGAAATATTCTCTATTTCATCGCTCCACAAAATCATGTTCTAATTCTAGTTTTTTTCAGAACTTCTATGTGAAGCTTAAAAATGTACCAAAACATTTTATCTAATCAAAAGATTATATGCTAAGGAGGGCGAAAGATATACACATAAATTAGCTAAACAAAGAGATAGGAGTAGTAAGGATTTAGTAAAAGTGAAGTATATTAAGGATGAAGATCAAAAAGTGCTTGTATTAGAAGAGGTTATTCAACAAAGATAGATGAGGTATTTTGCTAAACTTTTCAATGAAGATTATGAGAATGCGATTGGCTTTAGTGACCTTAGCACCCTAAATGAAAATAAATATTTTTTTATCGGCATATTAGCAAAACCAAAATTAAAGAGGTTTTAAAGAAAATGAAGTGTGGAAAAGCTGTTGGACCTGATGATATTCCAATAGAGATGTGGAAATGCATAGGAGATAAAAGGAATTTCTTGGCTTAATAAACTTTTTAATATTATTTTGAAGACTAAAAAGATGCCAGATGAGTGGCGAATGAGAGTAGTGATTCCTATTTTTAAGAATAAAGGTGATGAACAAGATTTGTGCAAATTATAGAGGAATTAAGTTAATGTGTCATACTTTAAAACTATGGGAGAGAGTTATGAAGCATAGGTTGCAACGTGACAATAATGTTTCTCAAAATCAATTTGGATTCATGCCGGGTAGGTCTACAATGGAAGTTATACATCTATTGAGAGGTTTGATGGAGAAGTATAGAGAGAATAAAGAGGATCTACTTATGATTTTTATTGATTTAGTGAAAGTATATGATAAAGTTTCAAGAGAAGTGCTATTGAGAGTTCTACATAAGAAAGGGTTTAATGATGCTTATATTCATGTCATTAAGGATACATATGCAGGAGTTGTTACGTGTTCAAACACAAGGTGGTTTGACCAAATATTTTCCTATTTCAGGTGGATCACATCATCAAGGATCAGCCTTAAGCCCATATATTTTTTAATTAGTCATGGATGTTCTTACCATAGATATGAAAGAGGATGTTCCCTGGTGTAAGCTTTTTGCTGACAATATTCTTATTATTCATAAGAATAAAGAGGGAGTTGAAGGTAAACTTGAATTATGGAGGTCAATCTTAGAGTCTAAAGGTTTTCATTTGAGTAGATCTAAAACCGAATACATGAAGTGTAATTTTAGTAGTAAAAGATCTAGTGGGGGTTTGTGACTTTGAGCGATCAAGTCATTAATAAGAGTACACGTTTTAGATATATAGGGTCTATTGTTCAGAGTGCGGTGAAATAGATGGAGATATTATTAGTAGAATTCAAGTTGGATGGTTGAAGTGGAGGAATGCATCGGGCTTGTTGTGTGATAGAAAAGTCTCTCTCAAACTTAAGAGAAAATTCTATAAGATGGTAGTGAGACCTGCAATGCTTTATGGTGCATAATGTAAGCCATTAAAATAATTAAGTGCTGCAGAGATGAGGATGCTCAGGTGGATGAGTGGCTTTACTCTTAGAGATGATACGAAATGAGCATATACGTGAAAAGGTTGTAGTAGCTTCAGTGGAAGATAAAATTAGAGAGAGTCGCCTTAGATGGTTTGATCACATAAAATGGTGGCCTTCTGATGACCCGGTTAGGAAAGTAGATGTATATTTAACTTATGTTAAGAAATGAGGAGGTAGACCTAAAAAGACTCGGTTAGAAAATATTAGAAATGACTTTTCTTTATTAGATTTAGATGAGAATTTGACTTTTAATATGACACAATGGAGAAAAAGGATTCATGTAACCGACCCCACAGTGGGATAAAGGCTTCTTCTTGTTGTTGTTATTTTAATAACCTCTCTTGAAGTACATCTAACTTACCATTTAAGCACATTACATTAACACCAGAGCAACTTTGTCTTTTGATTACTTTTTCCACTTTGATATGTAACCAATAAATAAGCAAACACCATGCCAAATGAATAACTGCAATTTCTCTAGTATCACTTTATTCATAACTTCGTCAAAGATGGAGAGAGGTTTAGAGATTTGTAATAAAGGCATTCCTAGAGTTCAAAAAGTATAGTAAAGGATTTGCTGAGCCTAATTTGATAAAACCCTCAAATTCTGATTTAACTACCAAAAATGATATCATATAAAGTATAAACTTATTGAAGATAGATAACAGTTAATTTTTCAAATGCCCCAAAGATATAAAAAGATTCATTGACTTGAAAAGTTCTGCATGATCCTGAACGAGAAATACAAGTCCTAGGCGGAACTAAATTGAGTCGATCCATATCTTATTGCTGAAATAATTTTTTGATGCCATTAAATCCATCAATCAAGCATGCAAAAGCTCATAAACACCACATTGATTGGCTCTGTAAAGTTAGGGGATATTTAGTTTGCTGAAAAATGAATACAAATTATAAATATATGAAGTGCATTTGAAAAAATTTGACTTTTTGGTTTAGTGTAAAACAAATAGATGAGATTATTTTTTGTGTTTGGTTTGAAAAAAAAAAAGAATTTCACAAAAAGCCCAACGAAGGTGATTGGCGGTGTTCACGGTGGCGGCGAGCGTAGATGGGGCCGACAACGACTGGTGGTGGCCAGCAGCCAGTGGCAGTCGAAGGTGGCATTGATAGTAGTATCTTGCAACAATGAGTGTGGAAGATGTGTGGTGCGGTCGAAAATCAGTTAAAAATAACATATTTTGGAATACACAAAAAATGAACAAAGAGGTGAGTTTCAAATTCCTAAAAATTTTACATTGAAATTATTTTTTATCAAACCAAATACCTACATTTTTAAAACTCTACATTTGAAATACTTAACACCAAAAACCCTTCAAACCAAATAACCCTTTAGTCATATTCAAGCAATAAAATGTAGTCATTCAATCATAAAATTCCTTGGCTTGAAATATTAAGTTCGTGAGCCAACTAGGACCTAAGCTTGCACTTTTGGACTTATAATTGCATTAGTTTTCAAGTCAAGTAAAATTATTATTTGATGATTACAAAAAATATATATAAAAAGGATCTTCATTAATTATTATCGTAATACTTGCACATTTTTTAGGAAATTTTGTATTCCTTTCTTGTTCATTTATTTTGCTTATATATAGAAACCGAATTCCTTAGCTTAAAATTTAAAGTTTGTGAGCCAACTAGGACATAGCTTGTACTTTTAGACTTACAATTACTTTAGTTTTCAGGCCAAGTTGGGTCAAATTATTATCATATGATGATATGTGAAACAATATATAGCAAGAATCTTTATTGTTTATTATTGTGTTATTTGTTTCTTTTCGAGGAAATTTTATATTCCTTTCTTGTTTATTTCTTTTGTTTATATATGTATATGCTTGCACTAAAAAATTTGAAATGAGATGTAATTCTCTCATATTCTCTCTAACAAGTTACAAGAGCTATATTACTTCTAATCATCTATTATTCACAAACATCTAATGTTTGTGAGCTCGCCACATGTTCCTAAAACTTGTTCTCGCCGACCTCCACAATTTTCTTAGAAACACTAATATTGCAACTCCATCTCTTCTGTTTCAAACTTTATAAACTGTTGCATCCCTCTGCTTATCATAGACCTCAGCTTCATTTCCCTCTTTCTAACATGCACCAACCTTGGATGTATATATCAAAATCCCCTCATTGTGAATGTCCACAAACCCAATGCACATCTCCCTGCAACTATTGCTATGAACCTCTCCTTGCTATAAACCTTCCTTTGTTTCATCATCAACAGCCTTTCCATTGGCACCTTCAACTTTAGTGTGCCCTTGAACTCTATTTTTTTGCGAGATCATTGATATCGATGATGTCTTCAAAGCCTATGGCATCACTAACGCAATATAAATCCTTGACCTCTAGCTCTCGACGTCTAGCTCTCTCGTGATGCCTTCGTAGTCATACCTTGCATTTGACGTCTCTTTGTCATCGTCACAATTCATAGATGGCAGGTCCCCATTAAAAGCTTGAATCCCCTACAACTCGAATCTTTGCAATATATTTGGTTGCTCATTGGCTGCATTTACCATATTTCCATAACACCCTCCCTCTTGCTGATGCTTTATGGTGATAAAACGCCACTGTGATGCATAATCCTCATTGCTCGGCACCGCCATTGCAACTTCATCCATGACTCCATCATTTTGCTTGCCTTGTTAGGTCATTCACACTCATCCAACAACAATGCCTCTACTCTTGAATCTCTCCTCATAGGAAACCTCTACTAATACATCTCCCCAAAGGAACGTTAGCATTAGTCCTCTTCTAACAGACACCTTATCACTACCTTGCCTACTCTTTTAAGCATCTCTTATGCTACCATCCTTTTTCATAACTCCTTCAATGCCCTCCTTCAAAAATGTCCATCGACACACTCTACTAATAGCTTTATCAACACTTTTTTAATCAACACACTCATTTGTCGCTCTCCATCAATGCTCTCATCAATGCTCTATAAGCGCTCTTCATCAATGCCCTATGTTGATACATCCGTCAATGCCTCCATAAATGCTCTCCATTAACACCTTTGTTAATACATCCATTGATAAACACAAAGCCTTTTATCAACACCCTTACTCTACCCTCATAGTAGGTCTTCAGCAGTCGATGTGACATTATTCATCCTCTATTTGAGAACCTTATCAATGCCTTCTTTGATATGAATCTCATGTGATACGATTGACTCTTTGTGTTCAATTTACATTAACCTCTCTAACATGAATCCTGCAAGTATTCATCCCGCTCCAGCTAAACTTGCAACTTTCAGGCAACAAACCAACTACCATGTATCTCTGGCCATCATTGCTTCCAAATACAAGTTCATATTTTCTATACATTCATGACTTTTCTAGGTATTTTTACCATATCTATCTTATCACATGTGAAACAAAAATAACAAGGCTATTTAATAGTTATTACTATGATTTTTTTTTTCAGTATTGAAGATTTTTTGTAACTTTTTTGGTTATTTTCTTTTGCTCATATATATGCTTGCATAAAGCACAATTAAAAAGAGTGTAATTCTCCAATACTCTCCCTCATTCAGACAAAAATGATGAGCCATTGGTCGGCATACATGCAAACAATTTATTTAATAATACGCCATAACCATACATAACTCCTAATTGATACATTTTTATTGACCCAAAATAAAGTTAACTGCTTTAAGTGTATGTTTGTGCCCTTATACTTGGCAATGACCCATTGGATGACATCATCATTTAGCTATTTCATATAATACAATTTAATTAGTAGCATCAAAATTTATAAAAAAACAGGAAGTGAACAATCCTTATGGTTGATTAAACAAAGTGTTAATTAAAGGTTCATTACAACAATAAGAAAATATTGCTCTCATTTGCAGATTGAGGATGCATCCAAACTAGATATCAGAAACTCCAACTCAAGGCAGCTTGTGACAATCCTAAGAGACAAGCTTCATGCATCAAACAAATTTACAAAATCAATTTAAGGAGAAATAAGATGATAAAGTCATACTGTATGCTAAAAGTAATTTGTTTGCAACATAACGCACCATTTTTCCTCAAATCACAGCGCTTAAACCTTGAACAACCTACATAACAACAAAGAGAATAATCAAATTAATGAACAAAACCATTTCAATGAGTATTCTAATCATCCATAAGCAAAGTTTAAACATAACAGATGTACAGATAAAACTGAAGCAACAAAATTAGCCTAAAAAAACAACAAAATCCAAACAAGCAACCAAAAATCCTGAACACCATAGGCCTACCTTATTTCCTTATATAGACATGACACCATCTGCTCATCATATCCTACAAAAAGGCATATGATGTTTGCCTTTCATTACAAAAAAATAATATTCTTTGGAAGGCAAAAACAAATCACAAGTGAAGTGATGTGCGGGAAGCAGGGAAAGACTCCAATAACAATAATATAATGAGATTTTGTTTCAAATTACACCTTCAAGGTTGTTCAAGAATTTCCAGCAACAGGAATAGGTGTGGCTTAGGTCATGGAGCAAGAAGATTAAAATTTTGAGAATCATAGAACTATAGACAATCGAGAGACCAGAGGGTTAGAGAAGGGATCGAAAATGCAAAAATCTGCATGAGAGGGAAGGATTCATAGAGAAGAGAGAAGGGAAAGGAAAGAGATCAGAAACATGAGACAAAGTAAAACCAAAAAGAAGGCAGCCGAAATCATCAAACAGTACTTCATAAAGCACTAGGTGTAATTTTATATAAATACAATAAAAAAAGGATTCATATTCTAAAAAAAAGAATTCAAGCACCTCATTTAATTTTTGTATAGAAAAGGAATCCATACTATTATTTTTAAATCATACAATATTAAATATATTTTAAAATTTTTATCATTCCTTTTTCTGAATTATTGAACTACTAAAATGAACAGAAGTTTCAGTAATTTCAGTATTTTCAAATTATCTTTTATTAATTATATGAGAGCATTCTCATAAACTTCGTACATTGATAATATTCCGAAATTAAGAAAGATATCAAATGTCATCCTGAGTATTGACACATTTTTCATGTCAAGTCGAGTTAAATCGAGCCGAATCAGATCCAATTGGGTTTGAATCGACCCGACCCACTCAATAGAGCCCCGTTGAACCAAATTTGACCCAAATCAGTGTTGATTCTAGCTCAATTTCATCAAATTGAGTTGATAGAGCCAAATCGAGCTCCGTCGAACCAAATTCGGCTCAATTTGGCACCGATTCAAGACCAATTTTATAAAATTGACTCAATCAAACCCAATCGGATTTGAAACGAGTTCGATTTGGGCTCAATTTCAACCCAAATCAGCCCTATTGATCAAATCTGAGCTTATTTGACTTTCCCAAATCAGGAAATTGAATCCAACAGAACTGACAGCTGCTATAGGTCTTTTCCCTCTAATTTGTGCGGGTGCAGCATGGATTTGAGCGCAGAAGATCATATTAGGTAGAACATTCCACATTTCAAGCATAGCAGGAACAAGAGAAAGCTTGGGTATTCTATTCAACACTCTCGGTCATTCGTGAATCTATCTAGTTGCGACGAAGAGAATTCATTCAATGAGAGCCTCCTTGCGTGTGATTCTTCCAACCGAGAAAGGGAGAGATCGGCAAAGACTAAACGTGCGTGAAAGGAGGTCGAGCAAAGCAGATCCTTGCGTGCGTACCTGCGATCTGAGGGAGGGGTAGGGGTTCATGAGTGAAAGTCAAGAGAGGGAGATTGGGAGCTTCTGTATGCGATTCTTCTAGTTTGACCGCCTGTAGAAGCCATGTGTGCGTGTTTGAGGCTGAAACAAAGACTTTCATTTCTTGTGCTTGTTCGCGTGAGGTTCGTCCATTCTGACTGCTACTGGTGTGCAATTCTAATAGGGAACCAGCACCTGTAGTTGGGTTTTCTCCTTCCTTCAACCACTTGGGGTCTTCCAAGGCAAGAGTAAAGCAAGGCTTGATGTCTTCCCTCCCTTCCTGTACTCAAGAGAGATCCAGAGGTTTCTTCCACCTTTTATATCAGCTCCGGCAAGTTCATGACAACGGAGGTGCCTTCCGGAAGCATTAAGACAGTAAAGGCAACATCTGGAGAGGCTTGGAAAGCAATCATGCCCTTTCTCCTTGCGCTTTGTCGCCTTTGCTAGATGAGCGGATACCCGGTAGCGACGTGACTTGACCCGACGAGGTAAAATCCTTCAAACTTAGGAAATCCCTAGGTCTCTAAGCCATCGGTTGTGTAATTGACGTTTCCAAACCCTTAGGTCCCTAGAAACCATGCACCTAGTTTTCTAAAATCACAAGAAAACCCACATGTCCGCTGTACACTTAGTGAAGTTGCAGGAATCCGGCGATTTCCCACAATTTTCTCTCATGTGAGAGCCAAAAGAGGGTGTTAGTGAAGGGCCAAGTCATTGGACTTGTGTTCAATGCCCTTATCTTGCATGCAATACATTCATCTTGTGTTCAACACCTTCGCCTATGGTAAATCCTGAGGTTAGGTGTGGTCATTCGACCATAACTTGAATGAAAACGTGCAGGTTTTTCACATCTTGACATCTATAACGGTTACCCAAAAAAAAAATAAAACTAATAATCAGTCATGACATCTATAATGCACAATTCTTAATCAAATAGTCATTATCAAATAGCCTTTCTTCCTCTAAGTTAAACTTATCTTCCTGCATCTATGTAACCCATAAATTGCCTTTAAGTATGTATTTAACCATTTTTATTTATCAAAATATCCATCCCCTTCTTAGCAAATCTCCCTTTAGGTAAACTTAACCTAAGTTTAAGATGATAACATGCCTCATCAAAATTGATACTTTAAATTACCAATCAAATTATAGAACAAACTAGGCGCTTCGAGTCTGATCCTGATATCAAAATCAAATGTTTTTCTCAGCCCTGAACTTTATGTTTTCAGCCCGAAGTCCCTAATTCCAGGAAAACCTACCAAAGAAAAACATAGGAAGAGAAAAAAGAAGACAAAAAACTTGGCGAAAGGACACGGGTCTGAAATTACACTTCCGTCTAACTCCGTTTGAAGAGACAAATCACAAGTGCTGAAAAAACGAGCGCGAGTTTTCGGAAAGCTATAGATAGAGAGAGTAATTCGGGCCACTTTGGATGCAGGATTTAGGCCAGAATTTAGGCAAGATTTGAGCTAAATCCTGCCAAACGCCAATAAAATACAAAGGTAAATCGTAAGTCCAATCTATACTTCACGGCGTTTTCGCCATTTTTGCCCTAAATCCCGGATTTCGTAAATCCGACCAAAGAAGCGAGCGCGAAAGGGGGAGAAATATCGTTACCTTCGAGCTCCCGGCGCGACTTCCGATCCGACAGGAACAACGTCGGAGGAGGAGGCGGAGAAGCTTTGACTCTTTCAGAACTCTACTTCACGCGAAGCAGGACAGCAACGATTAAATGCAGAAGAGGAAAAGCAAACCCTCGATAGGCAATGGCAAGCGAGGGAAGCTCTCACGCAAACGGCAACCAAGAAACCTGAAACCAAAAAGGAAAGCTAACCAGGATTAGATTAATTCTTAGGGGCTATTTGGTATCGGATTTACATCGGGATTTACGTTGGATTTATGCTAAATCCAGCCAAACGGCTTTTGTGCGCGCGTTAACTCCCGGCGATGGCTAAATCCTGGATTAAAGATTTACGGCTTACGGCTTAAATCCCGGATTTACTAAATCCCTCGGTTCGGCGGATTTATGGGATTTGGCCGAAAGAAGCGCGCGAAAGGTAGAAAGTTACCTTCACAGAGCTCCCGTTGTTGCTTCCGATCAAAATGTCGTAACTTCCGATCCGACAGGAAGGGATGATCGTCGAAGGAGCGAAGTCCAATAGCCAAGAAGGAGCCGAAGAATCGACGCGTGCAAGCTCCTGCGAAGCAACGAAGCCGAACGACGAAAAGAGAAGATGAAAGGCAAACCCTAGACGCCTCTAAGTTATTATTGATTAACTTAATTAATATAATTTAATTATTAATAATTAAGTAAAGTAATTAAATAATTAGTGAATAAATTAATTATCTAATTTAACTTACTAAATGATTAATAATATAATTAGTAATTAAATATTAATGTAATTTTCTTAATTAATATAACTTAAAATATATATTATTAAATATATAATTAATAGTATAAATAATAATTAATGAATAACTTATTCTTAATATTTTTTATTAAATTCATAATATAATCAATATTTTTTAATTATAAATATATAATAAATTTATAATTATTTTTTCACATTTAAATCCCTAAATGTCATAAATTCTAAAATTTATTACCAAACAGTTTCTTAAAATTAAATAGAATTTAATATTTGTCATACTAAATAGTTTTCAGAATTTAACGTCCTCAAGATTTACTAAATCCGGATTTACAAGATTTACTAAATCCCACTAAAGTTAAATTCCACTTGTGGCCAAACAGCCCCTTAGTTTCTTAATTATACATTTATTTAATTGGCTTAATTGATATAATTTAAAATATAAATATTTAGTTAGATTATTAGTTGTGTAAACATTAATTAAATTTTTTTTGAAAGAATGATTTCTTTCAAAAAAAAACATTAATTAAATAATTAGTTAGTAATAAATTAATTAATGGATTAATTGGTTATTCTAAGTAAATTGTAATTAAAAATTATTAAAATAATATACAAAAAAGTAATGAAATAATTAGTGTAAATAGTAATTAAATGATTAATTATTTTTAATTATAATTAATAATTAATTAAATATTTATCATTATAATTAACATCAAATTGACAATTAAATTAGTTATTAAAATAAGATCCTAATTATAGATTCATAATTATAATTTATTAATATAAATTAAATTAAATTAATTAATAAATCATATTTAAAACACAAATGCCACCTGAATTAATTGCTTTAAATCTTGAATAGGATTGTCAAATAGACTCACACAATATTTGTCATGTTATAACACATTTTGTACCAACCAATTCTTAGGATTTAACCCTCTCAAGATCTCTTAAATCCATATTTAGTGGATTTATGAAATCCTACTACCAAAAATTGCTTCGATTGAGCACGAATCTTGAGCTATATTCTAATTGACAAATTCCAAAATTAAATGTGAGACCATTTGAAGCCTGAGTTCACCATACGCAAGTCACGCCAAATGAAAAGTATTTATAGAATTTTATTTCAAATTATTTTGAGATTTTAGTGGCTCTTTCAAGTTTTTTATTAGGAATAGTTTTAATAAACAAAAATTTAATTAATCGTCCGATCGTCTGTTCCTACCCATTAATTCGAGTCTCTGGATCGGATGGTGAAAAGATGACTAGGTTCAAGAGAAAACCTAGAGGAAAAGTATTGTCAACCTCACCAAAAGTGAGGTCAACAGATAGGCCTATCTGCAACTAATAGATAAAGATATTTTATTTGAAAAACAAATTTATTGTGCTCTATTTTATTTTGATTAAATGCACCTCAACAAGAGACATTTTCATGTATTATCGAGTGTTTTAGTTATGATTTTTTTGTTACAAGAAAAAGTTATTAAAATATTCTTTCTATGTGTAAGATATTTTTACCAGAAGTGCTCAACCTTATACACAGCATGATACGCAAGATGATGCTTGATATTTTTGCACAAATATTGAGAAAGAAAATGTGTAAACAATCTTTGCATTTAGAATACTAATTAAGGATTATTGCAGCATTGAAAGAGAATATTGAGCAGAAAGTTTCCATATATATTACTTTGAATTTTATATTATTTAGAATATGATCATTTGAGAATTAGCATCTCGTTTTAAATTTAAGCTTCGTTGGGATGACTTTTTTGTTGTTTTTTAAAGTAACTTTCTAGTACAAATATTTTTAGTTTTAAATTTTTGTATTAGAAAATTGATTTAGAAAACATTAAGAAAGTTATCACAAACGAAGCAAAAATAAATTGCTTGATGTATAGCAATTTCAAAAAGCAACTTTCTGTACAATAATTTCATAACCTACTTTCCTGATAATTGCAGCCATCCCAAACACAAACTTTTATTAGGTTTGGTCACCTTACGTAGCTCCACGTTCGGACGCCAGTAAAATAGTGCCACGTATGCTCACTATTTACCTCGCGGCTCGATAAACCGTCCCGGAACGGACCCGGGATTGCTATGTTCGCGTATTGCTAGGTATTGATCGATTTTGCTCGGCAATAACGAGAAATACCGCTTTGTGAACACCAATACCGAGCATTACCAAGTTTTTCTCGGTATTATTCGGTATTGCTCGATATTGATTTTCACAGAGCAGTATTTCTCGTTATTGCCAAGTAATACCTAGCAATGCCGAGAAATACACGAACATAGCAATCTCGGGTTCCGGTCCGGGTCGGGTCGTCAGGCCGCACAGTAAAGAGCAAGAGCACGTGGCGACACGTTATTGGCATCTTGATGTAGAGCTACGTCTGGTCACCTAACCTAATAATTATTCCCCAAACACACCCTTAGTCTTGAAAACACATGTTAAGGAGCATAAGTGTTCCATATTATAAGTTTTAACTGTATATTCTTTAAAATAGAACTATTTGAGAATCACCACACCATTGCTATACTTTATTTTAAGATCTTAGCAAAACTCAATTGTATTAAAATATTTAATGACATGAAGGTTATTTTTACTGAATTGTTAAAATCTTAATTTTGATCTCATAGATAAAAACAATATTTTTAACTTTTGAATTCATTTATTTGATGACATCCCAAACATCTATTGTAGTTGCTATGAATATGCATGAACCACTAATTGCATTTAATATAGTATTTCATGATCATGTTACAATCATAAAATCTATTTCATCCAAAAGAGCAAATTAGATTTTTCAACTCTAGAGAAAGATCCATTAGATAATGATTTTTTTTTTTTTTTTTCATTTTCCTTAATAAAGATCATCATAATTTGGGATCATTTAAGTAATTTCCTCCATTCAAAAAATATTGAGACATGTAGCCTATGGAACTCATGTTTAACCCGATTTTCGCTATTCATGATAATTGACTCATTAAGAGGGAAGTCAAAGAAATCAGATATATGGAAGAAGTCAGAAAGAATACGAAGTAGAAAAAATAACCATCAATTTGCTCTGATACCATATGAAAAAGAAGTGGATGAAAGCTTAAATTGTTCAATCTTTTCGGCTTCATTTGGGAGAGCTTTTTTGCTCTTTTTTAAAGCAATTTTCAAGTACAAAATTTTTAAATTTTATACTAGAAAGATACTTTAAGGTGTAAGAAAGTCATCCCAAATGAGGCATTAATCAGTATTTATACACAAAGCTACATAAGAGACAAAAAGAAAACAAATAATAACAATAACAAACATAAAAATAAATAATCCTAGGACTTCTGTCCATCTTTTGATCCATTTAAGTTGATACCAAGTGAGCAATTGCGGCTTTTCCTTCATTTCTTGTATATGAATCCATAAAAAATATATTTCCTTGTAGATAATGAATCCATGGCTTCTATTTTTCATTATCTAACAATCGTGTAGATCACTAGCATCTCATTGTTAAATTTAAGCTTCGTTGGGATGACTTTTTTGTTGTTTTTTAAAGTAACTTTCTAGTACAAATATTTTTAGTTTTAAATTTTTGTATTAGAAAATTGATTTAGAAAATATTGAGAAAGTTATCACAAATGAAGCAAAAATAAATTGCTTGACGTATAGCAATTTCAAAAAGCAACTTTATGTACAAGAATTTCATAACCTACTTTCCTGACAACTGCAGCCGTCCCAAACACAAACTTTTATTAGGTTTGGTCACCTTACGTAGTTCCACGTTCGGACGCCAGTAAAATAGTGCCACGTGTGCTCACTATTTACCGCGCGGCCCGATAAACCGTCCCAGAATGGACCCGGGATTGCTATGTTCGAGTATTGCTCAGTATTACTCGGTATTGCTAGGTATTAGTCGAATTTGCTCGGCAATAACGAGAAATACCGCTTTGTGAACACCAATACCGAGCATTACCGAGTTTTTCTCGATATTACTCGGTATTGCTCGATATTGGTCTTCACAAATCGGTATTTCTCGTTATTGCCAAGTAATACCTAGCAATACCGAGAAATACGCGAACATAGCAATCCCGGGTTGCGGTCCGAGTCGAGTCGTCCGGCCGCGCGGTAAAGAGCAAGAGCACGTGGCGGCGCGTTATTGGCGTCTTGATGTAGAGCTACGTCCGGTCACCTAACCTAATAATTATTCCCCAAACACACCCTTAGTCTTGAAAACACATGTTAAGGAGCATAAGTGTTCCATATTATAAGTTTTAATTGTATATTATTTAAAATAGAACTATTTGAGAATCACCACACCATTGCTATACTTTATTTTAAGATCTTAACAAAACTCAATTGTATTAAAATATTTAATGACATGAAACTTACTTTAATGAATTGTTGAAATCTTAATTTTGATCTCGTACATAAAAACAATATTTTTAGCTTTTGAATTCATTTATTTGATGACATCCCAAACATCTATTGCAGTTGCTATGAATATGTATGACCCACTAATTACATTTAATATAGTATTTCATTATCATGTTACAATCACAAAATCTATTTCATCCAAAAGAGCAAATTAGATTTTTCAACTCTAGAGAAAGATCTATTAGATAATGATTTTTTTTTTTTTCATTTTCCTTAATAAAGATCATCATAATTTGGGATCATTTAAGTAATTTCCTCCATTCAAAAAATATTGAGACATGTAGCCTATGGAACTCATGTTTAACCCAATTTTCGCTATTCATGATAATTAACTCATTGAGAGGAAGTCGAAGAAATCAGATATATCGATGAAGTAAGAAAGAATAAAAAGTAGAAAAAACAACCCTCAATTTGCTCTGATACCATATGAAAAAAAAGTGAATGAAAGCTTAAATTGTTCAATCTCTTAGGCTTCGTTTGGAAGAGCTTTTTTGCTCTTTCTTAAAGCAATTTTCAAGTACAAATTTTTTTATTTTTTTATTAGACAGATACTTCAAGGTGTAAGAAAGTCGTCTCAAATAAAACCTTAATCAATATTTATACACAAACCTACATAAAAGAAAAAAAAGAAAACAACTAATAACAATAACAAACATAAAAAATAAATAATCCTAGGACTTGTCTGTCCATAGTTTGATCTATTTAAGTTGATACCAAGTGAGCAATCTATGGTTTTTCTTTCATTTCTTGTATATGAATCCATGGCTTCTATATTTCAATATCTAACAATCGTGTAGATCACTCTTAAACTTCATTTGGGACAGCTTATTGCTTTCTAAAACATTTTTATAACACAAAAAATTATAGTTCATAAAAATTTTTAATTAAAAAACTCCTTTAAAAAACAATAAAAAAATTATCCCAAATGAAATCTTAATATAATGATTCTTGAACCCCGATTATATTGTTATGATTGTTCAAAAGTTGGATGATATTGATTTTATTTTTGCCAACATTTTTGGATGATATGCACAATATGTTAAAAGCCAATAGAAAGGTGGCCCAACTCTATGTAATTGAACAAACATAGTAAAGGGTCTCACTTGAACAATTAGAGAATGTCAATCAATAAAAATGTATACAATGGCAGGGCCTACACATTACTAGAAAAGGTCTTAATTGCAACACTAGTGGCAAATAATTATGGTTCATATGCGATAGAGATAGTTATTGCACAAGCCTTGCTAGCTAAAACTACAGTGTAGACCTTGCTGCAAGTTTGCTATGACAAATATCTTAAAGAGGACATCAATGATGGATGTGGAAGCCAAGCCAAAACTATCATTATAGCCTAAAGAGGAATAGCTTTAATACACCAAAGTATGCCATCTCCAAGAAGAAAGGAAAATTTATTCTGTGCGGAGTCCAGACCCCAATAAAAATGTGTCACGTTTGGTACCGAGCGGTACTGCGGCTCGGTACCGCTCAATACCTAAGCGTAAAACGGATGGTTCTCCCGTCCGGTGTTTGCACAAAATAATCTCTCCCAAGAAAGGGGCAGTAAAAAAATCCAAAAATTCACCACTCAACAAGCTAAGCAACTAATGATGGATGATTAAGAAGGGCCTTCTAAATAAATTAAGGGAGATTTACATACATACCACCCTATACTATTCTATTTACATATTTAACACCTAAAACTTTAATATTACATATATACCACCCATGGTTCATTTTCATATTAAATATGAGTGGTAGGAAGTTAATATGAGTGGTATATTTGATATTAAAATAATATAGGGTGGTATGTATGTAATATTAAAATTTTGGATGTTAAATATGTAAATAGAATGGTATAAAGTGGTATGCATGTAAAATTTCCATAAATGAATCAAATAGCATTCCTGGAAATGAATAAATGAGCATCTAAATACATCTCTCATTTAACTACATAAGCTTTTCAAGAGGTTTTACCTTGTGTCTATGGCCTATACTGTTGACAAGATCCCTTCTGGTACACACTGGAAACATGTTCATATTAGGGATCCAAAGTCGCCTGAGAACATAGGGGAAGCTGAGCTGATCTCTAGATGTAAATCGAACAACTTCATTGAACCACAGGCATGTGAAAAGATTTGTCAGCGGCGTGTGCTCCCTTACAATGATAGATGCTTCTGCCAGAGCTTGAATAGCCAAAGCGATGCCAAAAAATCAGTTTAATCACAAACTGAATTTTTTTTTTTCCTCAATTTTGAATTTATTTTATGAATTTGACACAAAATTTTATGTTTATTTGTTTGCCTAACAATAATGCTTCGTTTGGGACGGCTTTATTACTGCTTCGTGAAGCAGCTTTTTAATACAAAAATTAAAAAAATTATACTAAAAAGTTGCTTTAAGAAGCAGAAAGAAAGTTGTCTCAAATGAAGCCTAACTTGCAAACTTGCAAACTTTTTCATAAAGGCTTGAGAACAATAAAAATAGTTCTGGAAGAGCTTAATCTAATTTCTTTACCTTTTTTCCCATGAAGCCTACTATCAGCAGGAATGCCATCATAACGGTACTGCTTGATCTGCACGTCCACTTCTTCAGGGGTCGCTTTGTGCTTCCTAACAATGGCCTTTGCCTCGTCATACAGGTTGCTACGGGCACCGTGCTCTGAAATGGCAAATACAGAATTCGTACGCCAGAGAAGTGCCTCCAGCACTCCTAATGGATCTCTTCGGAGCTGTGACTTTGAATCCACCCAAATTGAATATCTAGCTTGAGGAAATAATCTGTGGCCCAGCATCTGAAGCATTAAATTATTAAAGCTCAGTTTTAAGTCCAAAATATGTCAATGATTTAAACAAAATAATACAACATAATTGATATTCTTTTAATGTACAATACCCCAAAGGGCACCGTATTTTAATGACCAAGCTTTGACTCTAATTATATCCTAATCTATATCCATATAGTCTAAATAATAGATCAAAAACATCAAAAACTACCACATATACAAATGCATATCATCATTAACTAATCATTGATATTTTCAGATATTAAAATAACTTATCATTTACATACTTCATTTCATTAATCCTAAATTCATTATCTGCTAAGTTTTACCTCCATTTCTCTAGCAACAATTGCTAAAAGAAAAAAATCAAGACAGACTCTAAACTACCTTAGGAATCTTTCCATTCAAGCGTTGATCTGAGAAAGGTAGATCCCTAACAACAACAATACGCCATCTACCAATCATGCTATCATCACCAATTGTATTTCCTTCTGCCTCCTGCGCAGCAAGAGTTAATTCATCCCAAAATGCCACATAGCAAACCTGCCATAAATACCATTCAATTCAAAGGAGGTATAACAGTGAGTACAAGTGTAATTATGAACGCATCATATTACCTTATTTAAAGAAGCTTCACTCATCCCAATCGGTTGATAAAGATCATCTCCCCCTCCAAATGCACATGTACATACCACTACTTTGCAATCCTTCATGTATTGTTTATCTTCATCAGAAAATTTAAATCCTCCAGCATCACTGTAAAAACCACAATGCACCTCAGCATTGTTCTTTACCTGAAAAAAGCCATAAACTTTGATAAACGTGCCTCAAATGAAAACAAAATAGCACAGCCCACATATTAAAATAAATTACCCATCTTGTAAAAACCATATCAGATGCAACTATAAATAAACCAAATTAAGAAAAAACAGCCAAGGCATTTGAATATAGGATATTACATTGAAGCTATCTTCTCTTTCTTCAAGTGTTTGATATCCACTGAATAAGTTAAATCTAGCAGTTCCATTTTGGTGCCTTAACATTGTGGTGTTACCTTCAACAGGATACTGGCCAGAATCGGTTTTGTATGTCACACTCTTGACTGGAGAACTATGAACGACATTATCGGGAAATTCCAGCTTGTTCAGATCTTCTTCTTTAAGCATCTTTAGGCAAACTGGATGAATCAATAGTTAGATATGCAAGCACAAAGTATTAAACAAAATTATGTAAGATGCTGACTAGGATGCAAGTGAAAAAAAGAAAAGCATTTGATCAGGAGAACATTTAAGATTATGCAAGATCTATGAAGCCATACAACACAGAGAAAAGGAAAAAATAATTAATTTATTTAGAATGCATAATATTGAAGGCTAACATAATACTAAAACAAAGTGTCAAGAAGTCTAGCCATAAATTGAAAGCTTCAAGGATGGCTTGCAAGTTTACTCGATCCTTCTCAACATTGGGCAAGCCAACCATTTAGAAGTCTGTTTTTAAGAGCTTAATGATTAGATAGAAAGAAATAAAGTACTCATTACATGTGAACGATTTCAGGTTGCAAACACAGATTTGATAAGTCCCTTTGTGATACTTAGTAATAATGGTTTTCAATGATGAAAATATAAGTACTGATGCCAGACAATCTAGGGTCTAGGATTTCCTAGGTGATCGAATGCCTTGAAATGACATGCAATGTATAAAAGTATGTGATGCTAAAGAAATTTCTAATGAACATGCAAACAATTCAATGAAAAGAAAATACCAAATAAATATGAAACGATCCAAATGGCACCAAACCAATAACACAAGCAACTACTCATCAGCTTAGGCACTTCACTGAAAAGCAGTATAGCTCAAATATGTGAGCATCACTTGATGAGGACATCGGACCATAAAGAGTCTACCGTACGAAAGGCCGACGATCTACGGCTGTAATTGAGTCGTTATATTTCTAGTTTTTATTGTTTGTATGAGACTTATTTATGTTATTAGTTTGTTCCATGTTTTGCCCCTCTTAGTTGTCTATGTTTTGGTTGTTATTGAGGGGTATTGTTGTCTTTTATTTATTTCATATTTTACCCTCTACTTATGTGATGTGTCAAGGGTATTGTTGTATTTTGGTTTTTCCCCTTGTTTGGGCCAATATATATGGCTCCACCCCTCATGTAATGTTTTTGATGTTTATGTTATAAAATTCTGATTTTGTGTGATCTTGTTCTCTTGGAGAATTGACAGTGTGAGCGTGAGAAGTCCTTGGAGAAGGCAAAGCATCACCCAACAGCCTTTGGACTCTTGTTTTTTATCTAGCCGAACGCCCAACCCCCATCCTGCGCCAGCCGAGCGTCTCCCACCTCCACTGGCAGCCCCTACAGTCCACAATATTCTGCCTCACCACCAACAACAAATGCCCTTTCATCTTCTCTTGTGACCATTATTATTCCAACATTAAATGCGCTTGAACCCTTGGTATTCCCAAGCATAATTAATGTAGAAATCAATTCGGATTTTCATTTAATTTGTGGGATTTTCAAACCACATTTCTATCTTGCCAAACAACCCTCATTAAGTTTCAAATTTTCCCCTTCCAAAGCCAAACATTAATTCCCCCATTTACCCATGCACAATAAATTACAATTCAAAGCTTGTAATTAATTAGTCAAACTTCTCTTAATTACTTTTCTCTAATCCCTAGCCTACTCATTCCTCTTCCCATGTGCTGCCATTAATTCCCAAGCAATTCCCTAAGCTCCACTTAATATCGCCTTGACTACCTTCCCCTTTCCCAAGCTGGCCGACCCCTTCCCCTTCCCTCTTTCTCTTCATTTCTTCTCCACGTGACTACTTTTCTCTCCCATATCAGCTACACTCAAAGGAGAAAACAGTGAGCCTTCAAATTTAAATTCAGCCAACATCAAGGAGAAATCTCATAGAAATATGAGGGCATTTTGCAAGAGAAGCAAATATATAAAGATAGCCATCAAGGAGCCCAACTACGTTATTATTAAGCTAAGTATCTAAACGATTCTCCTCTTAGTCAGATACTTGGTTAGACTTCCTTCTTGGTAACATCGTTGCAAGTTTGTTATTTTATCCACTCTTAGTTCTACTTAAATTTGAGAGAAAGGACCTCATTTGCATTGTCCTTTATTGAATGTTGTGCTTGTGCCGGTTCACATGAGTTCTGTCTCAATTATCTTATCCTTTGCAATGTCAAGCCATTACATGCTAGTGTTCAAGTAACTTCACTTGTTTCTAATTCAAATAACCTACCGTTCTTACTGTTTTGCAAAGTTTATATTGTTGTGTTTTAATTAATTCTAGCAAGCAATCTCTCTTTGCAGGAGTTGATCATTCAGTCCCGCATCATCACTAATAGATATACTAAAAGAAATTAGCATAGATGGTTTCATATCATATATAAAGAATAAAAAAAGCCAAACCAGCTTAAAGTGTGTGCATAACTATCAAGTATTGTGGTTTTTTTTTTAATAATCCGGAGCCTTCTTTGAGTGTGTGCATGATCTTTAAAGCTGGTTTGGTTTTTTTCTATTTTTTTACATGCTTCAAAAGCCCAGGCAAATGAAGAAGGAACAACAAAGGCTTCAATGTAAAATCTGCCAAAATAAAAGCAATAAAACTAAAGAATTAACCTATTTTTAGGAGATGAAATATCTTGGTATATGAAACTTTTCAATATTACTTTGAAGGCTAAAAAGATGTCATATGAGTGGAGAAAGAGTGTGTTGATTCCTATTTTTAAGAAAAAAGGTGATGCACAAGAGTATGCAAATTATAGAGGAATTAAGTTAATATGTCATATATTAAAATTATGGGAGAGAGTTATTGAGCTTAGGTTACTATGTGATACTAATGTTTCTCAAAATTAATTTGGATTCATGCCAAGTAGGTCTACTATGGAAGCTATACATTTATAGAGAGGCTTGATGGAGAAGTATAGAGAGAATCTACATATGATATTTATTGATTTAGAAAAAAGCATATGATAAAGTTCTAAGAGAAGTACTGTGGAGAGTTTAGGAAAGAAAGGAGTTAGTAATACTTATAATCAAGTCATTAAGGATATGGATGCATGAGCTGTTAATTGTGTTCAAAACACAAGGTAGTTTGACCAAGTACTTTCCTATTTCAGTTGTATCACATTAAGGATCAACTTTAAGCCCATATTTTTTTTCTCTAGTCATAAATGTTCTTACCAGACATTTGCAAGACTCTGATTTATGTTTATTGCTCATGATATTCTCCTTATTGATAAGACTAGAGAGGGAGTTGAAGAACTTGAATTATGGAGGTCAACTGTGAAGTCTAAAGGTTTTCATTTGAGTAAATCTAAAACCGAATACATTGAGTGTAATTTTAGTAGTAATAGAACTAGTGCGGAGATTGTGACTTTGGGCGATCAAGTCATTAATAAGATTACAAATTTTAGATATCTCGGGTCTACAGATAAGGATATTATTAGTAGAATTCAAGTTGGATGGTTGAAGTGGAAGAATGCATCGGGTCTATTGTGTGACAGAAAAGTACCCCTCAAACTTAGGGAATAATTCTATAAAATGTTAGTGAGACCTATAATGCTTTATGACGTAGAATGTTTTCCATTAAAAGAGAAGCATAAAATTAAGTTAAGTGTTGCAGAGATGAAGATGCTCAAGTGGATGCATGACTTTACTGTTAGAGACGGAATGCAAAAAGGTTGGAATAGCTCCAGTGACAGATAAGATTAGAGACAGTAGTCTTAGATGGTTTGGACACATAACTCAATGATGAATTCAACCAAATTTGTGTTCAGATCTTAAGAAGAAAAAACTTACCATCTATGAATGAAGTCTTCTCAATTATAAAAGTCGATGAAAGAAGAAGGATGATAATGCTTGATAATCCTATCTCGGATGTGTGATAAAATAATATAATTAAGATGAATGTGTGAGAAAAATATGATGGATATGTAGAATAAGGAACATTTGAATATATGAAGTAAGTTGAGGATACCATCTATAATTAAAAAGGTAATGAAGAATAGGCTTAGGGTTATTTGGTTCAATCACATGAAGATTGTTGTATCCAATATAGTATGTTTTATTCAATATTATGTTGCTTAACAATATAATATTATCTGGATAGATTGAAAGGGTTGCTTAAACGACAGCCATGTTGCATTTGACAACTTCATGATAGTAGATCAAGAGCTTATAATATTAGTAAAAACAACACAACATTCATTAATTTTATGCAAATACCAACAAACAAACAACCAATAAAGCTCAGCAGTAACCACATGACGCTCAGAGAAATAAGAAAACAGCATTTTATTTGAAGCATCTTACCCTCTCTCACGCCATTGACAACTCTGGTGGTGGGATCCAGGTGATTCAAGTTCGTTCTTTGAACCTGAGAACCCTCCAGTTGCCGCTTTTCCACCTCGACCTTCTCGCTTTGTTTCCGCCCGAGCTTCGAGGCCTCGAACGCAAGCAATAGCATCGGCGGAATGAAAATCATCAGCGGCCACCACCTCGCCAACAACCTTAAGGCTCGGTCGAGGAAGCCCCTGTTCGAGCGTAGGAACTGCTTCTTTCGCTTTCGGTGGCCATGGACCTTCATCTTCCCAACCGGCTCGTTCGATTCATCATCGGAGACGGAGAATGAGATGCTGTTAAGCACTGAAGAGGACATTGGAACCGATGGTGGAGCAGGAATCTAGTGTTAAGGGGCCGTTTGGATGCAGGATTTATGCAAAATTCTGGCAAACGGGATTTGAACACATCTTAAATCTCATGGAAAAATAAATCCTCCGTTTCCCTCTTCTTTGCCGATTTACAGGATTTGGCCGAAGAAGCGCGCGAAACGGGAGCAAGATGGTCACCTCCGCAGCGAGCAAGCCCCGAAGAATGCCGCCGAACTGTGTGACTTCCGATCCCACAGGAAGGGAACGTCGTCGAAGGAGGCGAAGAAGCGACTCTTTCAAAATCTGCTTCCGGCGAAACAGGCGAAGGCCGAACGGCGAAGAAAAAAGCGAAGCAGACGAGGGCCGAACGGCGACGGCGTACTTTGAGAACGGGAAAAAGCAAATCCTACACTGGCCTATCGTGTCCTAAATTAAAAGCTAATCTAATTAGCTTAATTAATATGATTTTAAATATAAATAATTAATTAAATTATTAATAATATAAATGTTAATTGAATAGCAATAAAATCATTATTAATAATAAATAATTAATAATTTATTCAAATAACAATTAAATAATTAGTATTGTTATGGACCAGAACATTGAGATAGTAGAGAGATAAGGAGCTTGACGTCCTAGTTTTGAATGAAGATCAAACACACATAAATAAAAAAAGAGAGGTGCGAGAGTCATAAGAGACGCTAGTATTTTTATGTGAAAAATCTTGAAAAAAGTACATATCATAGGGCCTGAACTTAAAATGATTTCATTAGTGTTTGTAGTCGATTATAAATTGTGCCCTTCCTCAGGGGAAGATGTTAGCTCAAAGTATCATATAGAGCACATTACATAGTTAGGGTTGGAAGAATTCAATGATAAGTAAGTTATTCTCAAGAGAACGTTGGCCCGGTCATTTGGTTAGCAGGACGGTGGAGGTCAGAGGGATCGTTATTAGCAGGCGACGAATGTTTGAGGGAGCGTGGTCGGGGGGCGACAGTGGTTGGAGGGGCTATAGTGGGCGGGCAATGGATGTTGAAGGGACCATAGTTGACGAGAGACAGAGGTTAGAGGGACCGTAGTCGGTGGGGGACAGCTGTTAGACGGACTATAATATGTGAGCGATTGTGGTCAAAGCCTCAATAGGGATATAGGTAAGCACACGACGAGATTAGAGTGACCGTTATATAAATAATATTAAATAATTAGTTATTTGTAATAATAATTAAATATAATATTAATTAGATAATATCATATAAATAATAATTAAGTATTTATTAAAATAATACATAATAATTAATTATTAATTAGTATTATGACTAACAATTAAATAATTAGTTAAATTATTTGACAATTTTAATAACTTTTAATTATATTATTTATAAATTATACTTAATTGATGATAATTAAATTTAAATAAATAATAATTTATATTTAAAATTATAAATTAAATTTGACACATTAATATGAGTTTTCTTATAAAAATCGCCTAGATTACATTGCCAATATTATTCACAAGGTTTATTATCAGTACTTAATATTTTTTAATCAAACAATTTTAGTATTGAACATCCTTAAGATTTACTAATATTACATGAAATTACTCTACTCAATTGCCAACAAGCCGTAAGGGTTTTGGGTTCTCTCTTCATAATCTATTTGCTTCTGCGATGGGGAATAATTGGAACCCTCTGGAGCTCTCGATCTTCAAAAGTGAAAGAAATAACTGAAAGGTGTTTATCAATAGGCTTTGGTTTGTTGTAAATATGTATACAATATTTCAATGCATAATTTTGAATTTTAGATATTTTGGTTTCATTTTGGGACAGCTTTATATTAATTTTTTAAAGTAGTATTGTTAGTATGAAAATTTTTAAATTTTAAGAAATTTTTATATTAAAAATTTATTTTAAAAACAGTAAGAAATTATTCCAAATAAAACTTTTATTTGAATGAGAAATATATATGATGATGATTATATCTCTGATGTATGTATCGTACCTTTTCAATTACCAGAATTACATGGATCATTGTAGTGTTGATATGATCTCAGGTCATTAATCCCAAGTGATAAACCTTACTTCAGTGTTGGTTGATGATGAGGAAGAGATTATTACGTGTGAAGTCTCAGATACAGAGAACCGTTCTTTTGTGACTGTTGAAGCTACTATTCATCATTGCATTTTTTTACAATTCATCAATCACAAAACCAACGGTTTCTCTGTGTTCAGATCCCGCATAATAAATATATTCTGATAAGAGAGTGCATTCGTCCTATTTGAAAAGAATTTATTTCATAAACTCATCGCCTAACTAATAATGGAATTGCCCTCCTTAAATCTTCTTTGATCACCATGCTTGCCTGCACAATGGCAAAATTGTTATGATAGAGGGCCAATCCAATGATGACATGTGCTAATTCAGAGGTGCCATGTCTTGAAGGCTCGATGAACAAAATTGACATACTTGTATCATCAAATAGTACTTGAGTCTACAAATGACACTTTGCATTAGGCTGTAAGAAGATGAAGCTACCCTTTTTAGAATGTTGATCAACTTGAGAACTGGTCTGTCAGTGTTGAGCGTCAATAAAAGCTTTTTGCTGTGGCTTAAGGCTTGATGTGCCTTGCTTAACTCCTAACATTGCCATATATTTCTATGCTGTGATTTGGGTAATCACTCCAATTGGCGAACTAACAAGCCAATGAAATGGTTTCTCTTTATGTCATATAGACCTTGGGATGGACCTGCCTGGTAAAAACCTATCTGCTATCATGGAGCCTACAATCACCAATATTCGTCCATACAAAAATAAGTTGTGAACTTAGGTTCAATATTGGTGACGGCCTAAGTGTTCTAATATATTGTCAGTTTCATACGTAAATATAAGCTGTGATTGGTGCATTAATACAGACAATTCATTGCATATTATGTGATCGCAGGTTCGACCTCCGGTTGCCGCTGACTACTTCTTCAGATTCATGTGTCCAAAGTCGATTGATTCATATCTTTAGAAGTTTTATACTAAATCTAGCTTTAGATAGAAGTATAAAAAAGTCCGGGGACATAGAGCCAAGCATTCCAAACAAAGTCATAATCAACCTAAACTTACATACAGGCCCATAGTTACAGTCTTACAACCAAACATTAATATAATTTAACATAGATTTTGCGTTTTAACTCAAATTCGGTGCTATCAATGAAGCATCGAACTTTATTAGGTAATTACAGCTATAACACCAAAACATAGTCAATTCTCGCAGGCTCTAGTTGTCCCAGATTAGTTCTGCTAAGCTGGAATGTGGGAAAATAATACATGACCGAACAGCAATAATCAGCAAGATTTTTATATGAAATTGCTGCTCACTTTGTTATGTACATGCTAGTTTAATAAAAGTGGCCATCAATTGGAAATTCTGGGCAAAAATTCAATGCTGTCCAGCCAGCGTTTTCTTTTTTGGGCATTTTCTATCAACTCTGGGTATAGCCTCAAACAATACCGCAACAAGTCCATGTAATCTGCGACTGCAAAAGGAAATGAGAAAGCTGCTCATTATGTTCTTGGTAACCTGAATTTTTAACAAATTCAAGTGCACACACATATATATATATTTAATTATAATATATATATATATCAGTAGTCTGTCAAAATTGCTCGTTCTTGTCTTAGGTGTTTCAACTGATAATTAGCTTGAGTTTGATTACTGTTAATAGATAAAATATATTCATAAGTTAAACACAAATAAGGTGTTATTGTGCTCATGGTTTGGCTTCCATACTAACTTAGGCTACATTAACATATAAATAAAAATATGCACACTCATATATATATAATATTCTATCTAACTATTTAATAATATTATATTTAGTATGTATAATATCTTATGTACACTTACAACAAATTGGAGGCTTTTGACCTTCATAAGATGAGGTATTACTTACTTATAGTCAACTGTTAAAATACATATTCTAGATATACAACACAACAACATCAAAGGCATCTGTCACTGTGTGGGGTCGGCTACATAAGTCCTTTCTCGCCATTGTTGTCATGTTAGAAGTTAAATTCTATATAATATCTACACAAAAAAAATCGATTTCTTAATATGTTTCTAACCAACCAAGTAAGACTTTTTTTTTATAGGCTCTCCTACCTTTTTTACATAAGTCAAATTCTAAAACCTCAACTCTAAGCGGGTTCCATCCAGGCCTCCGTTAATTGGTGACCAAATCATCTAAAGTGACTCTCTCTAATCTTATCTTCCACTGGAGCTACTCCAACCTTTTCACGTATATGCTCATTTTGTATCCTATCTCTAAGGGTAAAGCCACTCATCCACCTAAGCATCCTCATCTCTGTAACACTTAACTTAGTATTATGCTTCTCTTTTACTATAGGCATGTGGTTCACACTTCACACAAAAATCTTCTTAGATATAAACAAACAAAAATTTGAACATCTGATTTCAAAGGAAAAGTCTCAATCAAAATTGTAGAATAATCTATAACTATGGATAGAATTGAAAAAATTAATCCATTATTATCTCAAGAAGATTTACAGCGATATATGACTAAATATAAATATATTCATATAGGATTAAACCAGATAGTTTTTTAAACCTCTAGCCCTTTCTAGGTTTAAATGGTTCCATTCTTTCTTGTCTGAAAAATGATTTATGTCTGAATTGGGCATAATCTCTTATGTGATGTTATGGAAACTAGTCAATATATCATGAACCAATTTATTTCAATACTTTTCCTAATTTAAGTCTCTCATTGAGATATGTCAATCTTTTTAAAGTCTCAAAACTTAAATTGGAATATAGATATGAATTTCTTCCTATAGAATTCATTTTAAATAATGAATTATTTATGCCCAAATATTAAAAGCTTTTCCAACCAACAGATAGAACTACATTAATAGAAACTAATTTGTTGGCCTCTAAAATATCTACAAATTGGGTAGTAACATTAAGAAGGGGAGTAACATTAAGAAAGGTAGTCACCAGAAGATCACTAATTGGTTGGTGAGGTTACTACTATCACCGGAGGGTCACTATTATTAAATAAAAATCCTATTAGCACCCCCAAGAAACTAGCATTGAAAAAGTTCTGTCCTAGCTGCTCTATCACTGTTGACGATTTAAAGGAGTACACTTGAAATTTGACTCCTTGGTCGTCAACACCGAGATTGGGGATCCCAACTTTAATGATAAGAAGGATTACGATCAACAACGACAGCTCAGTTAATATCCTGTTTTATTCCACCTTCCTTAGTTTAGTTTTAAGGGAAAAAAACTCATGCGAACAAGTAGATCATATAGATAGATTCAATTAAAGACTCATGAGAATTAAGGATCATCACTAACATAATCGCACTTGAAATTTCCCTCAACAGGTGCTCACCATGGGTAGTTTGTGGCAATCAAATCAAGATTGTGCGAATTATAAAGGAATTAAGTTAATCTGTCATACTTCAAAACTATGAGAGCGAGTTATAGAGCGTAGGTTGCGGCGTGATACTAATGTTTCTCAAAATCAATTTGGATTCATGCTGGGTAGGTCTACTATGGAATCCATACATTTATTGAGAGGTTTGATGGAGAAATATAGAGAGAATAAGGAGGATCTACATATGATATTTATCGATTTAGAGAAAGCAAATGATAAAGTTTCAAGAGAAGTGCTTTGGAGAGTAGGAGCTATTACATGTGTTCAAACACAAGGTGGTTTGACCAAGTATTTTCCTATTTCAGTTGGATTACATCAAGGATCAGCCTTAAGCCCGTATCTTTTTGGTTTAGTCATGGATGTTCTCACTGGACATTTGCAAGAGGATGTAACTTGGTGTATGCTTTTTGCTGATGATATTCTTCTTGTTGATATGACTAGAGAGGGAGTTGAAGGTAAACTTGAATTATGGAGGTCAACCTTGAAGTCTAAAGGTTTTCGCTTGAGTAGATCTAAAACTGAAGATATGGAGTGTAATTTTAGTAGTAATAGACCTAGTGAGGGGATTGTCACTTTGTGCGATCAAGTCATTAATAAGAGTACACATTTTAGATATATTGGATCTATTGTTCAGAGTGATGGTAAAATATATGAGAATATTATCAGCAGAATTAAAGTTGGTTGGTTGAAGTGGAGGAATGCATTGGGCTTGTTGTGTGATAGAAAAGTCCCCATCAAACATAGGGAAAATTCTATAAGATGGTGTTGAGACCTGCAATGCTTTATGGCGTCGAATGTTGGCCATTAAAAGAGAAGCATAATACTAAGTTAAGTGTTGCAGAGATGAGGATGCTCAGGTGGATGAGTGGCTTTACTCTTAGAGATATGATACATAATGAGCATATTTGTGAAAAAGTTGGAGTAGCTCCAGTGGAAGATAAGATTAGAGAGAGTTGTCTTAGATGGTTTGGTCACATAAAACGACGGCATTCCGATGACCCAGTTTGGAAAGTAGAGTATTAGATTTAACTTATTTTAATAAAGGTATAGGTAGACCTAAAAAGACTTGGTTAGAGAATATTAGAAATGATCTTTCCTTATTAGATTTAAACGAGAAATTGACTTTTAACAGGACACAATGGAGAAAAAGGATTCATGTAGCCGAGCCCACATAGTGGGACAAAAGCTTGATGTTGTTGTTGTTGATATTGTTATTATAAGAATATCCGGATAATAAGGAGGCAAGTCATCAAGCTCCTTAAATGTTTGGGATGATGGATGGTCCTCATGTATCACCATAAATTAATTCAAATGAATAAGAGTTTATTTTATTACTAATAAAAAGGGATACAAGAGTATGTTCTGCTGGTTGACACACATCACATTGAAAATATATGTGTTTAATCCTTTGAAAAGTAAATAAAACATCCATTGAATAACTAGGAGTGATTAGTGACCAAGACGGAAGTAATGGAGCCAAATGCATCTGTATTTGACAAGATAAGAAGAGATAAAGCAAGCTACTCTTGACTCTATTTGAAGTGTTCGATGCTTCAAAATATTAAAGTTAATCCCTTTAGTTAGCAAGTCCAAACTTCCTCCCAAAAACTTGCTCTTGAAAACATAATAATGATGAAAAATTATAAAACACTCTTTTGTGATTTTTGAATCGAAATAAGGGTTGTTGACAACTTTGGTACATAAGCATTTTAAGGGTAGGAGACGTTTGTCACATAGATATCTCCTAACCCTATAACTATAGCAAGAGAACCATTTGCCACATCAAATTTTCTACTAGTAGGGCATGAAGCATAAGTGCAAATCTGTGTATAATAATAATATGCGATATGAAAACTTTAAAAAAATTTCAACAATAATATCCTGAAGATACTGAAATATAAAAAAAAACGAACTTCCATCACCTGAAATATAGGTGCATCGGGATCTTTATTTACAGCCACAATGACCTTCGAATCCCTCATGCCAGCCAAGTGTTGGATGGCTCCTGAAACTCCAAAAGCCATGTAAAGTTCAGGAGCAACAATTTTTCCAGTTTGACCAACCTGAAAGATGTACATGGTAATAACATAAGATTTTCATAAAGATGACAAAATCATTAAGGCTTAAAAAGAATAAATTACAACCTTATTTACAGAAGCTTTAGTGTAACTAGAGCATGCAAAGCTAGATAGGAAAAAATGAAGAGTAATAACATCAGAGGATTGTTACAATGTCATACAAAAAAAAATCATGAATACTAGAAATTAATAAATTGCAAAGTTTTGTTACATAATCTTTTAGCATAACTTACGCATGCAAAGATAAATGCTGCTTTCTAATCCGGCAATTTGCAATTCTTTGATGTTTTTTATATATATATATATATATATATATATATTCCAAAATGGGTCTATGTGCCAACTTTGTGCTTGCACTTGGTTGGCATTCAAAGCCTTGTACTGGTACAAAACTAGAATTTGTCACTCTTACGTTGAAATAATGCATTATATGACATAATAAAAAGATTTGGGAGAGATCAATCCTCCTCTCGAATTGAGGATCAATTGTATCTTGCTATTTTATTCATCGACTAGTGGAATACAAGCTTTTCTTTGAGTTTTCTCTCAGATTTCCTTGTGGTTTTGCTGTTTTTCTGCTGTAAACAGCAGATTTCTGCGGTAAACAGCAGATTTCTGCTGTATTTCTGCTGTGGACAGCAGTTTCCATCGCTTCAACTTCAGTTTTGGTGAGAAACACTTGGGAACTCAAGTGTTTCCTATCAATATCCTACATGCTACCACTGGGTAATCACTAACCACCCTAGAAACCTCAAGCAAATTAAAAGAAAATAAGGAAACGTGAATCAATGAAGTTATGTAACAAGTCTAACAGCCTAAACTTATTTAACGAGTTATTCGCACGCATAAATAGCCAAAATCATAACTTGTAACAGCAATGTGAACAACTAGTTACTACAAAAATTATGGCGCAGTGACAATCACTGTAACAGGCTATAATTATAGAGGCCAAGCACTAATAATGAAAGTATATCAAGAAAAGAGTTCATAATGCGATCGTCCACAGGAATACCATAATTTAAGAATAATATCTGAGAGATTTGTACCACTAGAATTAACATTCTCCTATGAAATTTTCAACAGAGTTACCTGGAGGTCATTTGGTACGAAGTTGGCATCAACTGCAGCTCGTGTGGCTCCAACTATAACATAAACAAGGAATTACTAGTAACAAATGCCATTAAAAAACTAAGATATGATATTGATGTTCAAGCCCTGAAAATCAACCTAGGGCTCCAGTGCGGGCCAGTTTTTCTAGGAAAAAAAAAACGAGCATGCCCGCCATTAGATGCTACCAATGGAGTCTGGCAGATTTCAGGCTCCTGTAGGGACGATCCAACAAAACTTAAACAGAAAATTTTAGGGTACTCATATTGAACATATTTTGAAATCACGGTACAAGCTCACTTGCACAAATAAATCACGACAACCCACCAGGTCATGAAAATATTAGATGAAAGTGCTTTAAAAAGTTAAACGGAAATAAAGGAGTCAAATTTTAGAGCTACATATCTAAGTCCGCACACTAAATGTTCGATGAGAGCTATAAATGATGTTTCATTTCCAAGTTTGATTATCACATGAGATAGGTACTTAGTAAATAGTTGCATAATAGCAACACCCACAGAAAAGATTTTCAGCTTAAATCACATCGTGAAAGGAAAATTAAAAAGGGCTTGGACAGTTGATATTATGGGACATCATAGTCCAGCCCATCATATAACTTATGAGCTCCGTGTTCTAAATAAGTGCAGTCATACATAAGCCGACCCAGATAGTTGGGTTAAGGCCAATGATGATGATGAGTAATGCATAAAAAGGAAGATGGAGAGATCCAAGAAAAAACTCATACTCTAATCTGGTGGCATGGTGTCGATGAAATATCTTGTATCTCCACAATTCAGAGATACCATTTCAGAAAGAATATGAAAGTATGAATTTAAATTTATATGAATATGTGAAAGATGTCAATTTAAAACACAAGCAAAAGAAAAAGAAAGTGAAATTGAAAGTGTATATGGTGGAAAGTATACATATATTATTTAAAGTACATATAAATATATATGTAAGGAACAATGAGATAAAAGAAAAGACTTGTAATATGTAAATGAAAGGATAAATGTAAAAGGAAAATATATGTGCATGCAAATTACAGGAATTCATCCCCGTATAGTACTGACTAGGGAAGCAATGTACCCGTGCACGTTAAGAGAAAAAAAAAATTGTTGTACTTTTTTGATATATTTAGACGGTGCTCTTATACTAATGGAAATGAAAATGGAATAAATGTATAATGGAAATGGAGAAATGGAAAATAATGAAAAGTAATTTATGTGTAAGAAAGACAAAGAACAAGTATGTGTATATATGTATGTGTATATATATATATATATATATATAAAACTTATATATGCATGTAAATGCAAAAGAAAGAGAAAGCCAAAGGAACATATTCATTTTTATGTATACAAAATTTCTATGTTACTAGCATAATTACTCATGTAAACTCAACCTATTAAATTAAAATTTCAAGTAAACCTCCTGCAAAATAAAAATGACTGAAAGAGGAGAGGAATGTCTACAGAAAACAGTGCTCAAATGAAAGCAGGTAAAATGTGTTTATGTTTAAATGCATATTCAATGTATAAGTAGTGTCAGTGGCTCTTTGGTGTTTGAGGAATATTAGTCATTATAGCTATATGTAATTGTGGAAAAAAAAATGCATTTACCGTCCGACCATTCGTTTCCGTCTTGTTAATTCTAGTCTCTTGGCCGATTCGTGACACAATTGATAGTCATTCTAAGAACAACAGTAACCTTAAAAATTAACCAAATAGCCTAGGTAAGAATTTATTTCCTTGTATGAAAGTAGTGCATGGAGAGAAAAAGAAAATCCACCGGGATAGAGAATGAAAAATGAGAGATATAGTCAAGAACAAGGAGAGAATTTATAGGATAATATGTAGCTAAAATAGCATCACCCCAAAAATGACGGACAACATTCGCATGATACAATAGAGTATAAGCAACATCGATGTCTACATTCAATAACCCCATTAAGTTGGTACATTTAAGGACAAGATGTTAGATGAACAATGACATTGTCAACACAGTAAAATAAAGATTGCATGTATCCAAGGGCATTATCAATGTGAAGAATTTTAATCAAAGTAAAAAATTGAACTTTTTTCCTTCATAAGAAGTGAAATTGACAAAAACTCAAACATGTATATTAGTAAGTATGCCTAAGTAACAAAAGAATGATCATTAATAACATGAAAAAGTATCTAAATTTAAATGAATAAGAAAAGGACCAGGACAAAACCCCAAATATTATAATTAACCAACTCAAATAGGACACTATTGTGACTCGAAGAATTAGTTAAGGGCAAAAAAACTCAATGATATTTGGCCACAAGGCCCACAACCATTACAATCGAACTTAGATAGGAAAGATGGAACACTAACAAAATCTAGAAGCCATAGTGGTGGAGGATGAACTATATGGAAATGCTACTACTATATAGTAATGGTGGAGAAGAATGTAGAAGGGATTATGTTCATCAGGTAATAGATTTCTAGCTCAATGATGCTATAAAATATTTTCCTCATACTGAAATCCTTAAAAACATAATGAAAAAGATTAATGGTTAAAGAACAATTATGAGTTTTAGTGAGATAATGAATGGATAATAATTCATATAAAATTTAGGGACAAATAACACTCCGGAGTGGTAAATTTTGGATGCCTTTGCTAGAAACATTAAAGGAAAAACCATCAACAATTAAGCCAAGTAGGAGAGGAGATAGGCCAAGAGAGAATATCCAATCACTTATTACATATTTACATGTAATGTGTGAAGAAGCATGAGAATTTAAAATTTGGGGCAAATTGGATGTTAGATAAGCAGCTCGAAAAAAGAGGAGGAAATGAGGAGAGCGAGTGAAAGGGCCAAAGATAGCAAGGTGCAAGGGGTAAGGAAGGCTAGGTCAATATAGAGGACAACAGTGAAAGGGTGAAGACAGCAAGAAACAAGTGAAGTGAGCCAAGGTAGCATGATGCGAACAGAAAGTGTGATTAGCAAGAAGCAAGCAACATGGATGTGTAAAGTGGGTTAGCGTAGCAACGGCCAAGTATGCTAGTAGCACGTTGTGGGCATAAGCAAATGTGCAATACCTAGGGCTGCAAATGAACCGAGCGTTCGACGAGCTGCTCGTGGCTTGGCTCGATAAGAGTTCGTTCATGTTCGTTTGATAACATAAACAAACAAGCTTGAACACTCTTGATAAATACTCGATAGTTAAATAAACAAGCTTGAACAGCTAGTCATTCGGTTCATTTATGTTCATGAACAGAATCCTTTAAGCTCGCTAAGAAGCTCGATTAGAGCTCGACTAAGAAGCTCGATTAGAGCTCAATTAGAGTTTTAAAAATAAATATTATTAAATCTACTAATCTAATTAATTAGAAATATTTTAATAAATCTTTTATTAAAAATTTTCTCCATTCTACCTTTTCCTCTCCCGCCTCAATTCCCACTCAGGAAAAAAATATATCGTTTTTTAAACACTCGTCAGACCCGCCCTCCCTCTCTCTCCGTATATTTCGCATTGTTTTCATTATCCTGCCTCTCTCTCTCTCTTCTCTCTCTCTATATATAAATATATATATATTATATATATATATACTTCCTTCATGGCATCAACAAACTAAAAAAAAAACAATGGGGGTTTAGTCCACACTGCTGGAGAGAGTGATTTTCTATATAAAAACAAATATAGCTGAAGGCCATTTGCGAACAGGGGCAGCTGGCGGGTGAGTGGTTTTTCGGGCAGGATCTCAACGAGTTGCTCGGTTTCTTTTAATAAAAGTATTTTGTGAAATTTTATTTGGCTCGGCTCATTTAAACGAGCTGTTCGATAGAGGCTGACAAGCTTGAAATTAAACAAGCTCAAACATGAACACAAGCGAGCTTTGAACGTGGGAGTTTTAAACAGTCGAATAGCTGTCCAAGAAGCTCGGCGAGCTTCGAGTTGAGCTTTTGGCACGGTTTTGCAACAAGCTTGAACTTGAATAGGCCGAAGCTCGCTCGGCTCAGTCATTTGCAGCCCTAGTAATACCGCTGAAAAATTAATTGACTATTGCGGTTCAATTGAGCTAACTGTAGCTGTCTCCATTTAAATCATAGGAGGTCATGAGAGAGAAAGGTAGAAGGGGGACAAATGGGTTCGTATATTTAAATGACGAGAGAAAATCAGATGAACAAAGACAAAGTCAGACATAGAGAAAAATTTGGAGAACATAGTGTTTGATTGAAAAATATATTTAAATTATATAGTTTTGAAAAATATTTAATTATCTTTGGGAATATTAAATTTTGATATTTTAAAATTGAAACATCATCATTATGAACGGTAAATCGCCTTGGGAAGGCGATCATATCATTCCCTAATGGGTTCAAATTTAGAATTTTAAATTTAACTAATTATTATAGTCAGACTCAAGGGGAAAACAACATATGATCTCGAAAGATCATAATGAAGTTCAATCAATTGTCTGCTATGATAATTCGGATAGAAGACCATTAATCTCATAATCAAAACTACAATAATAATTGATATATCTATCCAAAGAAAGAAGGTATCAATTATTATCGATCGCTCGAAAATGACGATAATGATCGTTGTATTTGATTTTCCCAAGAGAATTTAATTGAGGTTTTGAAAAGTTGATTTTGAAAATCAGTTCTGGGTTTTTTTTAAATCTCCTACGAGCGCAAGCCCTCGTAGTTAATTACATCGTAGGAAATAAAAGTTTCTACGAAAACTCTCGATTAAATAGCGGTAGAAATTTTATTTTAGATTTTCAAAGATCGATATCAAAGGAGAAAAAGGGTAGGAATTTTCAATAGGGATTGGTTCGATGTTTGAACACTAATTTTTGAATCAAAGGAGGAGAAAGTAGGAGGTGTTTTAGGATTATGAATTACTTCAGAAACGCCTCAGCCTATCCTACGTGTTAGGCTTGAATTTGATTGAAAGAGATTTTTAAGTTAAATGGCCAATTTTATTAGAAAATTGGGACTCAATTCCGAAGTTGAGGTCTTATAGCCCGAGCTTGCCTCAGAACCTAAGTCTGATA